TATGTGATTGTTCTTTTCTTTTTTCTTATTTAAATTTTTTTTTTTTTTGACAAAAGATAATCATATATTAATATTGAAGAATAGATCGTTACATCATATGCCTTAACCAGGCTACAAAATCAAAAGACCGACTCGCTATCGGGTACAAAGAAAGGGCTTTTCTAGCCACCAAGTGGACTACCCTGTTACTACGCCGACCAACGAAACGAACCCTAAACCCTTCATTCTCCGCCAGATAGAGCAGCACTTCACGAAAAATCGCACCCGCAGAACTATCACTCCCCTGGGCCGAATTGAGCCTGTCAATCACCACCTTTGCATCCCCCTCAAATTGAACTTGCATGAGCCCTCGGTTGCGGCACCACAGGATGGCCTCCCTGAGAACCAAAAGCTCAACGAGCTTCGGATCATCCACCTCTGGAAAATAGACACCTATAGCACCATCCACCTCCCTGTCCGGGCCCAGCAACACCACCCCCCCCCCCCCCCCCCGGCCGAGTGCGACCCATACCTGACCGCTCCAACCCACCTACAAACAATGGTACCCTGGGGGGCATGGGGCACCCGAGGAATACCATCCACCGGGTTGTACCCCATCCCCTCCCTCGGGAGCGAAACCCATTCCCCCAGCTGCTGGTGGTACTGACGGAGTAAAGCCGGAAACCCAAATTGTTTGCCCTCAAAGACCACCCAATTCCTTGACTTCCAGATCCGCCAGAGCACAGCCACTACCGCCATGATCTGCGAAGGGTCTTTGATGATGGCCAGCAGTCTTTTCAGAAAAAGAGGGAAAGTATGGCGAGGCAACCCTTGGCCCACATGCTCTAACCCCGCATAATCCCACATCGCCCGAGCCACCCGACAGTCCAAAAAGAGGTGCTCCATCGTCTCCGGCGCAGCCCAACAAACCGGGCACCGGGGATGAACATCCACCCTCCTCCCGATAAGCGCCTCTGTAGTGGGCAGGAAACGATGCAACACTTGCCATAAGAACACCTTCAACTTGGGCGGAATCCTGAGATTCCACACCCGCTTCCAACTTGCCCGATCCATCCAACTAACTGTTGGGCGCCAGCCTGCTGATCCAAGCTTACAGCCAGATGATAAGCAGATTTCACCGAAAACACCCCATCCCCTGTCATGTGCCAAACAAGCCTATCCTCCATCGCCCTCCTAGGCAACGGAATACTACGAATAGCACGGCAAACATCAGGGGGAAACCAATCACCCAATTTATCCACCAACCACCGCCCCTCAACTGGGCAAACAAAATTCGCCACCTTTAGATCCTCCTCGTCAGGGAAAATTCTTGGATTAACCGTGGGCGGGTCAGGATGGAGCGCTGGAACCCAACACTCAGTTAAACCATTTACCTCCCTACCATCCCCCACTTGCCATCTAAGCCCACGAGCGAGCAGCTGCCTTCCATACAGAATACTTTGCCAACCCCAGGAAGGCCGTGATCGAGCAGTCGTTGAAAGGAAGGATCCACGAGGAAAATACTTCCCCTTACACACCCGGGCTAGGAGGGACTGGGGATCCATCAAAATACGCCACCCAAATTATAGTGACTCAAGAATACTTTGCTCTTATTGTAGGTCGTTGTTGAAATCTCAATTATTCATTATCTTTGTTTCAATTCCACAACAATTGGTATAATAACATTTGATTCTCGAGTCTTTCTCGATCACTCAAGATATTAGGGAGAAGTGGTTCTTGATATGATACTATAATCTCATACCAAGAGATCTCATGTTTGTGAGAGTCACTATATTAATTAACAGTTGACTACTTGACTTAAGTGTAGGGGGTGGCAGTTCGGTTACCGATTATTGGTTAACCGACCGGTTAAACCGATAACTGGCCGGTTATCCACTAACCGGTAATCAAAGTAACCGAACTTCGGTCGGTTATCGGAAGCTGGTCAAAAGGGTTTTTGGTCTTAAAAGTGGTTCGGTTAATCGATAACCGAGATAACGGAGAAACCGAAGCCTATTTCAGTCGGTTTTCAGTAAGGGGTGTTTATTTCGGTTAACCGATAACCGGCCAATCGGTTACCGGTTATAACCGAAATAACCGAATTGTCAACCCTACTTAAGTGTATGAGTATGATGATCAATGCAAATTTCAGGTCATTGGTGGATTTTTCAGTTGGGGAGACATGCAAAAGGAATGGTATAAACAAACTCTCTACTAAAATTTTGAGTTATTGATTCGAACAGGTTCTAATGCAACTATATATCACTAACTCTTACTGCAATCCCTTTGTACAGTATTCACATTATTACGTTTACTCTTCTTTTTCTTTTTTTTCATTATCTCCTTGCCTCTCCTTTTGACTCAAAAGCTTCAATCACAAAGAAAAGTAGGTGAGGAGGGCCAAGAAAACAATTATATGTAGGGCTTCAATTAATTAAAGCATAGGAAGTTTGACTAATAATGGTCTCAATGAAGAAAAGATAGATTGCACTATCTAGCCAAGAAAATGAGTAGTGAATAATTGCTAGCTCCTTTGTTGTTTGAACTTTAATTCTTTATAAACTTTCAAACCCAACAGACAGAGGCTTGCTTTGTTCTGAATTGAACCAAGTTTAATTGGGGTTTGATCAGTGTCCTAAATAAAGTTGGTAGTGGATCACATGATTTTGGGTCTGAGCATGAGACAATGTCAGTCCAAAATAGCATGGTCTATGAAACCGTACCGGATATTGTATCGGAAAGGTCAGTCGTATGATATTTTCTGATAAAATCGTGGTTTAATCGTAGTTCAACCGTTAGACCGTTAAATACCGCCTACCGGTTTAGTCTCTAATACTGGTATTTTATGGTTGAACCGCCGGTACGGTACGATTTTATGTACCATGCAAAATAGGTGACCAAAATGAACCCCAATATTTCCTCTAATCAACCCACTGGCCTATAGCTTCACTTTAAGTTGGATTTCTTTGTACAACGGCTCTTTGTCGAAGATATGCTTGTGTTTTTTCGAGGGTTTTTTTTTGTGTACGTAGAAGATATATCGTGAGGTTTGGGATAATTTTAGAGTTAGAGAGTTCTTCAGAGAAGTCAAAGTGTAAGATGAGGAGAGAGAACAAGAACCATCTATAAAGACAGTTCTAGAGTCTTCATATAAGTTAGGATCTATACACTTGTTTTAGAATTTTATTGGTATTAGAAAGCAGTGGCGGAGCCAGCATTTCAAACCACTCATGTCCTCTTTTCATAATATAAATATATAATAATTAAATTAAAAAAAATTAAATTAAAAATAATCAAAAATAATTATATCTGCATAATTCATTCATAGATTAAAAATAACCGACTATACAATCTTTTGCTGATTTTCCCATGAGAGTATATAACAGTGTTGATAATCTTTAAAAAAAAAGTGTTGTTGTAAAAGACCGTTATCAATAAATAAATACAACGAGAAATTACTATACTGGTAATGACATAGCAGGAAATTTGAGTAGAGCCAAAAGAACGAGGTTTAGCGATGTTGAATCTCGCCAGTTGGTTGTCTATTATACAGATGGATGCAACGCGAAAACGAAAAACAATCACCCTTGTAATGTCTCGATTTGTATGGTGTAACTTATCATGGGTGAGGTTGGTAATATCTAGTCTACAAAAAAGATATTTACGAACATTTTGTCGATCATATCATATTGTTGACGGCAAATTTAGTACTAACGATCAATTTCAATATCGATGAGTTATAATAACAATATTTTCCTCCCAAAAGATTCTTATGTTTTTATTTGCCTTCAATTGGGGTCACTGAAGTAAGTTCAATCAGTCACAACTCGCAAGAAGGCTGAAAACGAATTATTGACAACAAAAAGCTAGTAATATGGGCATCCACTTTTTTTTTTTAAAAACATTGTTTATGCCTTGAATTATACTTAAAGTAGAATATTAGCCTCTTTAGAAAAGGAGATTATGGCTCAAATCTGTCCCCTGCTGCTAATCAAACCAAACCCCTCACTAATTGATCATCAGCCCACCACCTTGAAGTGTCTCTCTCTCACAGTGCACATATAATAATACGGGTAAATCTAACATTTTTGTCATTGAGATTACTAAATCATGTCATGTTTAGTCACTAGAAAAATTAATATCAATTTTGGTCACTCAAATTACCGAAACATGTCACATTTAGTCACTCTCCCGTTAGTTTCAGTCCAACTCCATTAACGGAGTTGGACGGAGGCTAACGGAGAGTGAGTAAATGTGACATGTTTCGGTAATTCGAGTAACATTCATAAAAGAAAAAAGTAATTCGAGTGACATTACTAAATGTGTCTTGTTTTAGTAATTCGAGTAACCAAAATTGATATTAATTTTTTCTAGTGACTAAACATAACACAATTTAGTAATCCCAAAACGTGGTATCTATCCATATTAATACGAAGCCCAAGAAGAACAAACATCAAAACAGTAGGATTTTCTTCACCTCGGGAGCATCCTACTGACTACTGTTCATCATTGTGTACGGTCAGCTAAAGTCGATCACTTTGTTGGAGAAATCGATCTACAGAAATTTCAGTGCACAGAGAAGAGAAGGACTGTCTTTTGTATGTTACCTTTTGGTTTTTTTGTTACCACTTTCACAATCGGTGTTTTGAGATGGTTGCAGCGCTTTGGATTTATTCCTTTTCCCTCAATTTCTATGCACTTCAATATCCTTTTCTCAAGTGGTCGACAAAGAGCTAGCTAGCTAAGCTATGTTCATGCATACAGACAGAGGACACTTAGTTTGGATTGGAATCAAAGCCTCAATCACGAAAAAAGGAAGATTCGGCCTCAGCAGCACTGCAGCATCCCACTGATCATAAAAGGGAGTTTTCTTTCCCACGGAATCAAAACGATTAATAGGGTTGTAGAGGAAAAAAGATTTTAAGTGTGGCTGCTGGGATTCGAGCCCAGGTCTCTACGGCCACAACGTAGAATTCTAACCACTAAACTACAGCCACTGTTGATGGTTACCATTTCTACACATAATTACTTATCCGTTATTCCACTCTGAAGACAGTACTGTGATCATGTCAAGATTCATGAACCGTGTATCTCCACCGTAAGCCTGATTCCCTGATCTCATATTCATCACAAAAATCAAGACCTCAAACAATCAAATGTTGTTACCGTTTATAGAGAAACATTACAACCCACAGACCACGTAAGAGTAAATACTAAATAGGCAAGGCTATCAATCCAATCACAAAAGCAATTTCTGTAATGTTTTAAGGGTTCGTGTCTCCTTAAAACTATATGACTATGCTCTTGTACGCACCTCGCTTACTACTGCTCGCGACACGCATGAATACAGTTGGAAGAATGCTACTCGCTCATAACAAATGAGTGCAATTGACAAGTCCTGCTTGCACTAGTAGTAGCTTAGTCCAGTCCATTTAGCATTGGGTTTGGCAGATATTAACAGGGAAGGAAACAGAACATTTCGCAATAATGTGGTCGAGAAGGTCTATCCCTTGCTGACAGTGATCATCGTAGGATAACTCTAATCCAAGACTAAGAAGAAGAAGAAGAAGAAGAAGAAGAAGAAATGTTATTGGCTACTGGAATGGTATACATCAAGTTCAAGTAGAATGGCCTTGCATGGCTTACACATCCCCTTCAGTCGCTACCTTCAGAGTCCCACACGTATAATGTATTGCTTCCGAAGATGCAAAAGACAAGAAGGAAACGCCTCACTAACTCTGCCAAAACTCTGTCCCCCTGCAATTACTCATTTCAACTTCACTCATTGCCACCTGCTGTTACAGCAAGTTCATCTCATATTCATCACAATCCCATAGCAACTACAGACTATCAACAAGAAGTAATTGCCATTTGGAAAGATCAACAATCAGAAACAAACACAAATTTCACTTTCATAACAATTACAAATATCCGTGAGGTGTCAGTAGTAACCTCACTTTATTACAGATCCCATATTACCATATACCAATGACAGAAAAGAAAACACAAGAATCAAACATTCGAGCAACAGACTCGGGAGACACACAATTGCAATGTCATACAATTGACCTTTATTCCAGCGGTTCACAAGAGACCACAGAGTTTGTACCAAAAGAAAATCAACATAAAAGCAATGAAGAAATAAATAGATCTTCAAACTTCCTCGTCTTCCTCTTTAAAGCAGCACTTCAGAGTTGATCTAGGAGACCCAGTATCCTCAGAAGACGCAGCATCAAACTTCTGATAGACAACAGAACCTCCCATTCCGAGCTCTTCATGGCTCCTCTCTCCGCGACAGTATCCCTTCACATCCAGGGCACACTCCTTCTCCAGTTTCCTCCCAGCCACATTAGTAGCATGCACAGCTACAGAGAAATCGCTTGGCTTGAAGCAAGCCAGCACCCTATCGACCACCTGCTTGAGACCCACTTCTTTCAGGTCGTACCCCATCATTTCAAAGCTTGCATAGCTGAACCCGTCTTCTGGGGTCACGTGAATGGTGGAAACAGCACCGCCTTCAATAGCATTCATGGAATAGCCACAAGGGTCGAAGTCAAAATCACAAATTTCAGAGTCTGGAAGGATCTTCCTTATCCCAGAATCAACAGTCATCACAGCTCCAGTAGGAGACTGGGTTTTGAAGAACACTGCAGCTTTTTCTCTGTCAAGACCAGTCATGCACATCTCCACAGTGTATATTGGTTCATCAACCACAGCAGCATCTGCAGTAGCAGAGTAAACATGCCACTTCTGCTGGCTATCCCATCCACCCATGATATAGGCCTTGCTTCCTTCAGAACCGAGCTTCCCAAAATATCCATCGAGTACAGAGACTTCCTCGGAGAAGCTACGATGAGGATATAGCTGTGCTGAAGGGCAGATAAAACTACCACGAGTGTACCTCACTGACTTCACCTTAAGAGAAAGGGCTTCAGCCAACTCGAGGATTGGTGGGATAGATAGAAGCAGCTTTGTTGTCCCACAAGTTTTGATGACGATCTTGTATGCGAACACAAAGAGGCTGGACTCAGAGAGGACATAGGAGTCCACATCAGCATTAGCAAGTGAGTCGACAATGGTGCACTGAGCCGGTCCAAGAATCTCATCCAACTGAGCCTTCGACAGAGATCGGAGACCCTTCCCTTCCGGGTCAACAAAGATACCCGGCTCGAAGAAGGCTATTTCTAGCCTCTTCTCGTATCCTTCAAATCCAATTGCAGAGACTGTCATCGTGACACTCAAGAGCAAATGTCACAACACCAGAAGATAGACCAACAGATGACAGTCGAGCAAACAACACCAAGAGGTTGTCGCGAATTCCCAGATAGCTCACAGTTTGATCACGGTCGCAGAGAGAGTGAGGAAGAGAGGAGGAATTTGAATGAAACTGATATTTATACCTAATTATAATAGCAATAACTAAATGAACCACGTTATGTGGTTAGGGTGCAAGCTATTAGCAGGACTCAGGATGGCTTGCGAGCGCACTGCATATAAGAAACACACATAAAAGAAAAAGTTAAAATCATGAATTGCTGAATAAAGACAAGCCAAAACCATGACAACAATAAAGGATGGGGGGAAGAACATACGTTGGAGTAAGCAGCAGATCTGAATTTCTTGATTCCACCGTTTGGGCGAACGTCTTCAATGCTGTAACCGAGGGGAGCTTCGTAGAACAAGGATTTACTACTACTGCTAGACTTCTTCTTGCCACCTTTCGACTCCATTGATCATTCAATACTGGCTGCACCAACAATGGAACATGAGTTAAATCACCCCAAAGTATAAAAACACGAGAACTGGCTACTCAAATTAGTAAGCAATGTAAAATTTCTACAGAATGTTATCCCCAAATGGGACTCTCCTGCAAGATGATAACCAGAAATGAACACAAAACTCTCTGTGAATATTATAATCCCTTTATCAGATTTCAGAAGACAAAAGATAAACAATTTAACATCATCTTATCTCATATCCTGGCACAAACACGAAACTTAAGCTAATCGACATATCATAGAGAAGATGCGCCATCATCAATCCACGCTCTAAACCTCTAACCAACAGAATCGGAGATTGTTTGGAAAATAGGAAGCTAAACGCCGAACACACCAAAATCACAATTAATCCATACATGCACATAGAAACCTAAAATCCCCTATTTTACGACTTCTAATCAAAACCAAGAAAAAATCGCGCCAAGAAAACCAAAACCCAGATCTAAACGAGCAACAAGATCAAGAATTTATCCACCAAGAAAAGCCCTATGCTAGGTTGAGGAACAAATAAACCGATGGGTAACAAAGATCGGAACTTACAAATCAATATTGGAAAAAACACAGCAGCCCTTTTTTTCTCTCCCGAAAAGCCAAATTCCTTTGCAAAACTCTGGAATCGGAAATAACAAAGAGCGAAAACCAACCAAAATTAACCCACGAAACGACGAAATCGGAAATCGTACCAAGGAAAACAAGAGAATTGAACATGAACAATAACCCAGCGATTACAAGAGAAGAGAGCGGATGCATACCAATCTAAGATTCGTCAGACGAAGAACAAGATGAACACCCAGAAATCTGTGGCTACGAGAATTCGGAAAATAGGCAAAGAGACGTGCGGCGAATCTGAGATTATGATGAGGGCCTTTTTTTCAGTTGGCTTTTTTGGCTTCTTTCCAGTTTTTGCGAATGGAGGAAAGGCAATTTGATGATGAGAATGTGCGGAGTTGTCAATTTATAAGGGACGGGATGTGTAGGGTTAAATTTAGTATATTACGTTTCTGCCCTTGGATGGGCATTGGAATTACCGGTTTCACTAGGCGCGTACGTTACGAATATGCCCCGGGAGAATTTTGGTTGCCTTGATTCGTTTTTACCAGTGTTATCCGAGCCGAGCCGCTCGGCCCGACCGGTAAAATTGCCACTCGGTCACAAAACTGGCTCGGAACAGTCTAAAAGCCGCTCCTGTTTTATGTAGCGGTTGGCGAGCGGCTGAGGCGGTTAACCGTTCGAGCCGATCGAGCCGCTCGTTCGGTTTTTGCCATTCAGCCACTAAATTTAATTAAAAAATTGTAGAAAATTGAAATAAACCAAAAACGTCGGGCTCTCAAATTGAATCCTTATTTCCATTTCACAATTTCGAAGGAAAGAGATGAGCTCTGATAAAGAAATGTCCACTATTTATACTGATAACGTTAATTTAGATATCGGTTCTCTAACAGTTTTTAAACGGTCTAATACCGGTTGGACCGCTAAAGTGCGAGCCGTTCGCATTACCGGATCATGTTCCGGTTGGGTTCTGACAACATTGATATTTACCCTATTCCTAAAAAAACAAAATTAAAAATTTATCATTGCATATTTGATGATTAACAAAAATAAAAACAGTCAAATAATTATCCACCTACCAAGGGGGAGGTGGTTGCGCCAATTTGAAGGCCCCCTGGAAAATAGAAATAAACTAACTTGGGGAGAAAGGAAATGGGCAAACAGGTAATTTCCTACGAGAAGGGCTTTTTCGTACTCTGTCTCATCTTGAGAACATCTTTACGGGACTTTTCAGTAGGAATTTTTTTACTGTTTTTGACACGTCAGATAAATAGCTGGTCAAGAATTTGCATCGGGGTTGATGCTGCAGAAGAAAAAAACAGAAGGATAGAGAGAGAGAGGAGTAGAGGACTATGGGGGTTGGATTCTGACCGTGTATTTCAAACTTTGGCCCTGCTCTCTCCATTTCTGTGGCCATGGAGCACTTGCCCATTTATTCTTTCCTTTATATATTCTTTCTTTCTCTTTATAATTTTTTTTTTTTTTTGGCGTGTGTCTGAAAAGTGGAATCTAAACCTAAAATAAAATATAAAATATGAAAATCTAAACCATAAATCAGTCTCCTCATGGCGGCATTGTTTCCCCAAATGGCATCTTAAAGGCCCACTCCACTGAATCATTGGACACTCACACACGTCGTCAATTTGGACTTTAGACATTATCTCTTCCTCCTCAATTGGTCGCTGTGCGCTCTCAAGATGCCCAAACCTCACCTCATTAACCATTCAGCATCAATTCCTGTTAGGAACGGAACAACAAAAGGAACGAGGTTACCGGATCTGGAGCTGAGTAGCGGACTAGGTCGCTCTCTTTAAGACGTTCGCGGCACTGCCTTCGATGCGCACGGCAGACTATCAACCGGTCGTCTCCAGGATAAAACAGCTCCTCTCAATACTCGCGGTTTTGTGCGAAAACCGAAGCTCTCTAAACACTCTCTCTATTGTGTTTCTGCTCGTTTTGATGTGTTTAGAGGGGCTGGAGAGGCGGCTATTTATAGGAGTCGAACCCCTAGGAATATACCCTCTTGCTTGGGGAATAAGTCGGATTAATTAAGGAAGATAATTACTTTCTCAATTAAAACCGTCGGTTAAGATAAATCCGGAGGGATTATCCTTCGAATATTCCTTTTCAGTCGATTATCCCTTAGAATATTCCTCAGAATAACCGATTAATAATTAATTATTAGATAATTAATTTCGTTCGAAATTTCTGTAAAAATATATATATGTAGTCTCAAGTGAACCAACCAACCAACCAACCAACCAACCAATTGTTATTACCCATTGAACCCATTTCTTGGGATCTCCAGTCTATTGGGTCGGGTTACCATCACTTGTAGTCCGTGGTTCGGTAGGCATAAGTCCCATACCCTTGGCGGTATTCTGGACTTTCTCTCTAGGTAATCCTTTCGTCAAAGGATCAGCTAGATTCTGTTCGGATCTTATATGATCCACCCTCACTACTCCTATCGTTAGGAGTTCTCTTACAGTACTGTGCTTATGACGAATCTGTCGTTTCTTTCCGTTATAGAACCGGTTCTCAACTTTAGCGATAGCTGCGGTACTATCACAATGGATCAATACTGGAGGGACCGGCCTTTCCCATAGGGGAATCTCTGACAACAATCCTCTCAACCAACTTGCTTCTTCACTAGCCGTTGCTAATGCTATCATCTCTGATTCCATAGTTGATTGAGCTAGGATTGTTTGTTTCTTTGACTTCCAAGACACAGCTCCACCAGCGATGTTGAAAACATACCCGCTGGTTGCCTTGGAGTCATCTGATAGGGTATTCCAGTCCGCATCACTATACCCTTCTAGTACAGCAAGAAACCTTTGATAGTGTATACCAAGGTTTGTTGTTCTCTTGAGGTATCTCATGACCCTCTCTATAGCATTCCAATGCTCTCTACTAGGACAGCTGTTAAACCTGCCAAGCAATCCCACGACATATGCAATGTCTGGTCGAGTGTAATCCGCAGCATAACGGAGACTACCAATGATGCTAGCATATTCTGATTGTCTTACACTGTCTCCAGTGTTCTTAAATAGCTTTACACTAGCATCATACGGAGTACACGCAGGTTTACAGTCGAAATAGTTATATTTCTTCAAGATCTTCTCTATGTAGCTAGATTGATCTAGAGAATAACCATTTGCTGTTCTAGTTATCTGGATTCCAAGCATAAACTTTGCTTCTCCCAGATCTTTCACTTCAAAGCTCTCTTTCAACATGGCTTTTGCTTCATTGACCACGTGAATATTTGTACCAAATATCAACATGTCGTCTACATACAAACATATGATAGTACAAGTGTTATTTTCTGACTTGCAGTAAATACACTTGTCACTTTCATTCACCTTAAAGCCATGTGAGAGAACGAGAGTGTCAAACTTCTCATGCCACTGTTTTGGAGCCAGTTTCAAACCATATAATGATTTGTCTAAGTTACAGACTTTCGAGGCATGTTCGGGGATAACAAACCCTTCTGGTTGTTCCATATAGATTTCTTCATCCAGATCACCGTTCAAAAAAGCGATCTTAACATCCATTTGGTGTACCACGAGATTGTTCAAGGCAGCAAGAGCAATCATTACACGAATGGATGTTATTCTAGATACTGGTGAATAGGTATCGAAGAAATCTAATTCTCTCTCTGCCTGTAGCCCTTAACTACTAGGCGAGCTCGGAACCTTTCGATTGCACCATCAGGTTTCCGTTTCGTTTTTAGAACCCATTTATTACCTAAGACTTTGCAGCCAGGAGGTAAGTCTGTTAGATGCCAAGTTTTATTAGCTTCTAACGGTTCCATTTCATCTATAACGGCCTCATTCCAAAAATCTGCATCTACGGAAGTTAATGCTTCCTGCAAACTTTTTGGATCTTCGAGGGTGAATACTGTAGTAAAGTCATCACCAAAATCTTTTGAGATTCTAGCTCTTTTACTTCTTCTGAGTTCATCCTCAGAACCAACACCCCCACTAGTTCCGTTATCTCTAATAGCGGGTAGTACATTACCCCACTATTTCTTGTTTTAAATGGAAATCGTGTCTCAAAGAAATCAGCATCAATGGATTCTATTATAGTACGAGCATTCAAATCATAGAATCTATATGCCTTACTATTGGCCGCATAGCCAACGAAGACACATTCATATGCTCGACTGGCCAATTTAATCCTCTTAGGATCCGGAATTCTTACGTAGGCCAAACAGCCCCACGTTCTTAAAAAGGACAGATTAGGTGGCTTATTCTTCAAGATCTCATAGGGTGATTCTTTTCTATTTGTTTTTGGAAGATGGTTTAGCACATAGCAAACTGTCAACAAAATATCACCCCACCAAGAAGAAGCACTGATTTTCAAATTCAACCACAAATACCTTGAACATATCAAGGGCTTCACTTTTGTTTTTCATCAAATAAACAAAGCAATAATCAGAGCAATCATCTATGAAAGTGATAAAGTATCTCTTGCCAGACCTAGTTAACGTCCCATCTAGTTCGCAAATATCAGAATGAATAAGATCTAAGGGTTCTGATTCTCTACTCACAGATTTATGGGGCATTTTCGTTATTTTAGCTTGGCTACAGAAATCACATTTATCAAATTCATTCATTGAGAGTTTAGGGATATGTCCTAGCTTGCTTAAATTCTTCACAATTCGTGTGTTCACATGACAAAGACGAGCATGCCAAACATTCAAATCACACACCATGTAAACTGAAGAATTCATCTTATTATTTTCGACATTCAACTTGAACATCCCATTATATGCATATCCCTTTCCCACAAAACTCCCATTCTTAGTAAGGGTATACAAGTCTGCCCCAATAGTTTGATTAAACCCAGCCTTATTAAGAAGATATCCCGAAACAAGATTCTTCCTTATCTCTGGAGTGTGCAACACATCCTTGAGCACCATCTTCTTCCCAGAGGTGAAGTTCAGCTCCACTTCACCAGAACCAGCAACCATAGTGGTGTGAGTAGTCCCCAACAACACTTTCTTGTCAGCAGGTGCTTCTGTGTATGTTTTAAACATAGCACGATTGTTGCATACATGCTTTGATGCACCTGTATCCAGCCACCATCCTTCTGAGTCACCGGTGAGGTTAACTTTAGCGATCATATCTGTGATCATGGCTATCAAATCCTCTTCTGTCAAGTTAACCCTGGCCGCAGCGGCAGGGTTTTGCTTGTTCCGACACTTTTTTGCCATATGACCCGGTTTTCCACAATTATAGCAGATAAACGGTGGGTCATTCTTAGAGGTTTGGGCCATGACCCTTTGGTTACCTCGAGAGGCACCATTCTGGTGGGGGCGGACCTGCTGGTTCTTACTCTTAAACCCTTTCTGGTTAGGTTTAAGAGCTCTAGGGGTGGGTCGTTTAGCAGTGACGACCATCACCTCTTCTTTCATATCCTGCTTGCGGGACTCTTCCTCAATCCTTAGGCGAGTAATCAAGCTTTCCAGTGAAAATTCTTTGGTTTTGTGCCTAAGCATATTCTTAAAATCTTTCCACGAAGGGGGCAGCTTATCAATAATGCAAGCAACTTGAAATTGATCGTCCAGAGGCATACCTTCAGAGACGATCTCATGAGCTATTTTCTGAAGTTCGTGGGACTGAACTTCGACGGACTTGTCATCCACCATCTGGTAGCGCAGGTAGCGGCTGACAACATACTTCTTAGCTCCAGCCTCCTCCGTGTCGTACTTCTTTTGGAGCGCATCCCAGATCATCATCGCGGTGTTCTTACTGTCCGCATAGTAGTCGTAGAGATCGTCTGCCAGGCCGTTGAGGATGTAGTTCTTGCACAGGAAGTCATGCTCCCTTTCCCTGGCAGAAGCAGCCCTCTCCTCATCGGTCGCTTCTTCCGGAAGCTCGACGGGCATGCTGGTGAGGCAGTGGGCCAGTTTTTTGGTCGTTAGGTAGAACTCCATCTTTTGCCTCCAGCGACGGAAGTTGACCCCAACGAAGCGAAAGGGTCGATTCATATCGACAGCACCAGATCCGGCCATGTTGTTCTGTTCAGTCGACATAGCAGCAGCCGAACGTCTTAAAATTATTAGGAACGGAACAACAAAATGAACGAGGTTACCGGATCTGGAGCTGAGTCGCGGACTAGGTCGCTCTCTTTAAGACGTTCGCGGCACTGCCTTCGATGCGCACGGCAGACATCAACCGGTCGTCTCCAGGATAAAACAGCTCCTCTCAATACTCGCGGTTTTGTGCGAAAACCGAAGCTCTCTAAACACTCTCTCTATTGTGTTTCTGCTCGTTTTGATGTGTTTAGAGGGGCTGGGGAGGCGGCTATTTATAGGAATATACCCTCTTGCTTGGGGAATAAGTCAGATTAATTAAGGAAGATAATTACTTCCTTAATTAAAACGTTCGGAATTTCTGTAAAAAATATATATGTAGCCTCAAGTGAACCAACCAACCAACCGACCGACCGGACAGACGGCGCGCGCGCGTGTGTGTGGTGGTCCGTTAGGTCCTCCCTCTCCCACAAAAGTGGGTCACCCCAAGGGGCATGCCCTTGGGAGAGAGGCTCCTATCTTTATACCCATTTCACCAAGTAAAACTACCAATGTGGTAGTTTTTCCACTTGAGACTCTATAGCTTTCAAAGCTATTCATATACATTTCCAACAATTTCATCAATAAAAAAACTAATCGAACTAATACTTCATCTTTTCTTTTCTTCTTCCTCATTATCAAGCTGCCTTTGCAAAAGCACCCGCGTGAGGGAAGAAGCAATAGGTTCACCGCCTGTGCAGAAGCACCACCTGAGGGAAGAAGCAGCTGGCGGGTGGGAAGATGGAGAGGCAAGCGACGGTGAGTCGGAAGGAAGGGCAGGTCTATTTAATTGGGGTGGAGCGGGTCAATAAGGTAAGTTTGTGTCCAATTTCGTTATGCTACTCACAACATATTTTGTGACCAGCTTCTCACAAAGGCAGATGGACTTCCACTTCGACCGTGCTGTGATCCGAGGGCTGGGATAAATTGGGCTCACTTAAGTGAGGGGAATAGAGACACGCGAGCTCGACTGAGCCAATCCAACTCTTCACAACACTTTTGGGTGGGTCTCACAATTCAAATAAACCCAATATTTGACAAATTTTTTTCTTCTCTCACCATCACTTATTTCCCTCCCTGATTCGTCTTTCCCTCTACAGTCTACTCAGCAAAAAATGAAACTCACAATTTTTTTTTTGGCGTGTGTCTGAAAAGTGGAATCTAAACCTAAAATAAAATATGAAAATCTCTTCAATAACTGATTCGAATCAGATCGTTTTTATAAGCTCAGTATTTGATGTAGCAGATTAGATAATTAGATAATCTGGCGTTCTAGAAATTGGGTGGTCTTTGAGGGCAAGTAATTCGGGATCCCAGCTTTGATGCGTCAGCTGCACCAACAGTATGAGGAGTGGGTTGGGCTATCCTTAAGTCCCGTTCCGATGTGGACGGCGCCAGAACCCGGCCTTAGTAGCTCGGTCGATGACAGCAGGGTGATTTGTATGTGGGATGGGGCCACGAGAAGAGGTTCACACTCGGCTGGAGGGATGGTGATTATGAATCCGGAGAGGGCGATCCTTATGGCTAAGGGTGTTCAGTTTCAGTCGATTGATGACCCATGATTGTGGAATTGCTTGTACTCAGAGAGGCTATTGTTTGGTGTTTAGAAATGGGCTTCTCGGAGGTCGGATTGGAGGGGGATGCTAAAGTGCTCATCGATAAGATCAACAAGGCTGATACTAGAGATAACCGGGTGGGGGCGGTGTTGGAAGAGATAGGATATTATTTTCACGCTCATCCTGGGTTGGTCATTCGATTTGTAGGTCGGTATAACAATAGGGTAGCCCATTTAGTGGCTAGAAAGACCCTTTCTTTGTACCCGGCTATGAGTTAGCATTTTGATTTTCTGACCTTGCTTGGTTCCAGGGTGTAACTATCGAATTCTGTTATCAATATATGATTATCTTTTGTAAAAAAAAAAAACTTGCATTCATCAAATAGTATGGACAAAGAAGACGTCGCTTTTACTTGTATGGACAAATAGATTTTTAGCGTTTTACCAAGCAAAAAAATAAACAAACAGTGGATAAATTCCCACACTCGAATGGTTAAAATATTTCAGGCGCTTGTCATTAAAAATATTTTATTCCATTCGTGTTAACTAAAATTAGTTCAATAATTCAGGTTTAGTCACTGGTCATTAGCTTTTGTTAAAAAAACACCATTAGTTTATTGCTGATGTTGCTAACAAAAACGCCCAATCAGCCTTACAAAAAAATTATACCCAACCTGTCGCGTCATTAGAAACCACAAAATCATATTATCCCAAGTCCCAACCCAACTCATGACCCCACCCTACCTTGTCGACCCACCTAATTCACTTTAAGCATAAATCAGTCTCCTCGGGGCAGCCATTTATCTCCCTTAATGACACCTTAAGGGCCTCTACACCAGCTCGACCCATTGCACCGAATCATTGGACACTCACATACGTCATCAATTTGGACTTTAAGGGGTCGTTTGGAAGTTGTGATTGTTAGAGTTGTGTTTGTTGAATACATGTATTGTGCACAATACAATGTTTGGAAGTGTCAAAGTGTAAAACAATGCATGCATTGTTTTAGGTAGATCCCACCAACAATCACAAAAAATGATGCATTATACAATAAAGTTGAGATTGTTGGTTTTAAATTTGTGTCAACCTTTTCTTTCCATTTATATCCCTAAAAGTTTTTGTCTTATTCTAAAAGTTGAGGGTAAATGTGACATTTTCATATAAAAGTAATTTTATGTAAATCAATGCATAAAGTAGAATCTCAACAACCAAACAATGTATTGTTAAAATGCATCCATTGTATCAATACATACATATATATTATGGTTATTCATTACAATGCAACGATTTAACATTCACAACTTTCACACGACCCTAAACATTATCTCTTCCTACTCAATTGGTCGCTATAGTATAATTCCACATTCACAATTTCAATATTAATATTTGAATCAAGATGCGATAACCTATATGACTATATCCAAGGGATAGATCTTAACGGCTTGTTTTCAACTTTTTGTTCAAGGGTTTGTTTTGTATGTCGAAAGGGGGCTAAAAGGGTTATTAACCCTTCATTTTGCCCCAATTGTGAAGTGTCCTTCCTTTTGGTGATCCAGTGCGGGTCTTGGTTTAGCGCTCGGTCTTTTCTCCGTGAAACGGCAGGCACCAACGAGAAGCTACGAGAGCCCTACCCATCGTCACTCTGGCGGGAACCAAGTCGACGTGACTCTATTCTCCTTTCTCCACCTCCAATCCGACACTGGAATTCCTAATTCTTAGCTTCTCCCTTTCAAATTGGTAAGTTCTCTCTCTCTCTCTCTCTCTCTCTCTCTCGCGGTGGCTTATTCACCGATTTCCCGACAAGGGTCAACGTAAAACCCTCCTTTCTAATGTGTCGATTTCTAATCTGATGGTTTGAATCAGTGTTTGGTCGTTCCGGGCTTTTTCCGCTGAAGTGGGTTTTGAATCGATTCCGCGGTTGCTCCAGTTTCGAGCTCTGATTCTGTGTGGTTGGAACTTGAACGACTCGCTCGCCCTTTTGGACCTCACTCCCTTGCCCGTTGTGAAAGAGTGCTCTTGGTATCAATCTATTGGTTTCTCTCAGCCTTGGCTTCGTATGTTGGTGGGGCTGTGGAGTTGAGAGATAGATTCAGTTAATTTTTGAAACACGCTGGTCTATTGGTTCGTCTTGTGACTGAATCTCAGCGTTTTGTCTAGCTATGTAGGGTTAATACCCGGCTAGTGCTTTTATTTTGGTTGCTACTGATTTGGGGATTCTCGGCTAGTGAACGTCAGATTGGTTATTGACTTATTGGAAAGGAACTGATTGGAGTTTTATTGTGTTTCCCCAGAACTGTAACTTTTGAATTTGTTTGTTTAGCGATTAAATCTGAAACCTTTTGTATGAAGGTCTTAGCTTTAACTCGGTTTCTTTGGTCTGTAATTGCCAGTTCTGAAGTGATGCACTCATGTCACCTCGTATTGGTGAAGGGCCTGTCAAATTTTTATCGAATGAGATGTTTAGATTCTTCTTTTGATGTTGCTTTGTTCCAACAACAGTTATCAGTCTTCCTTTACATGTATAGGAGTTGGAAGATCTCATTTTGTTTTATGTTTTGCTGTCTTTGTAAAGGGTCTGGGTCTAATGGCTGATGAGCAAATTGATTTTGAGGATGAAGAATATGGAGGAGCTCAAAAGTTGCAATTCCAGGGAAGTGGTGCAATTCCTGCTCTTGCGGAAGAAGAAATGGGGGAAGATGATGAGTATGATGATCTTTATAATGATGTGAATGTTGGTGAGAATTTCCTACAGATGCATCGATCTGAACCACCGGCCCCCCCTGCTAACATGAACAATGGGGCATTCCAAACTTCTAATGCTCCCGAATCAAGAATTGAGGCACCAGCCGGGGGTGGTGGTGTTAGTGTGCAAGGGGTAAACATACCTGGAGTTGTTGCTGAAGGGAAATACTCTAATCCTCCAACACATATTCAAGAGAAAAATGAGGTTCCTGGTATAGTTAAGGGGCCAGAAAATGGTTCAGCTGCGTACTCGGATGCATCTGCTTCACAAAAGGGTAAGGTCATGGAGATCGCACGTGATACCCAAGTTCGTAGTTTGGGATTTCAAGGAGCAGCATCAATATCACCCAGTATCGGGGTTAATCCTTCTGATACAACTAGAAAGGTTCCCATGGAGCCACAACCTATGGCAAGTACTGGAACAGGTAGTCTGACAGGTGTTCCACAGATGCCAGCTAATCCTATGAACATGAACATGGATACCAATATCATTAGTGGAAATCAGATCAGGCCACCTTTAGACAATGGTGCAACTATGCTGTTTGTTGGAGAATTGCATTGGTGGACGACTGATGCAGAGCTTGAAAGTGCTTGTTCTCAGTACGGGAGAGTCAAGGAGATTAAGTTCTATGACGAAAGGGCTAGTGGTAAGTCAAAGGGTTACTGCCAAGTTGAATTCTATGAAGCAGTCTCTGCTGCTGCTTGCAAAGAAGGAATGAATGGATTTTTGTTCAATGGCCGAGCTTGTGTTGTGGCCTTTGCTTCTCCACAAACAATAAAGCAAATGGCAGCTTCCTACATGAACAAGAATGACAATCAGCCTCAGGCACAGACACAGGCAAGGAGGCCTATGAATGATGGTGCTGGAAGGGGTGGTGCAATGAATAATTATCCAGTTGGAGATGGTGGGAGAAATTTTGGAAGGGGTGGATGGGGACGTGGTGCACCAGGTGTTCTCAACAAAGCTCCGGGGGTTGGAGGACCAATTAGGGGAAGAGGCATGGGTGCTAAGAGTATGATGGGGGGTGGTGCTGGTGTTGGAGGCGGCATCAATGGGGGAGGCTATGGACCGGGGATAGGTGGTCCTGCATTTGGTGGTCCTGGTGCTGGAATGATGCCTCCACAGGCAATGATGGGAGCTGGATTTGATCCAACATACATGGGTAGAGGGGCTGGCTATGGAGGATTTGGCGGAGCTCCTGGCTTTCCAGGCATGCTTCCTCAATTTCCATCTGTTAACACGATGGGACTTGCTGGGGTAGCTCCTCATGTCAACCCAGCATTCTTTGGTCGTGGTATGGCTCCTAATGCTATGGGGATGATGGGTGGTACTTCAGGAATGGAAGGGCCAGGCATGGGAATGTGGTCTGAGACTGGGATGAGTGGATGGGGAGAAGAGCATGGAAGAAAGACTAGAGAATCAAGTTATGGTGCTGAAGATGGTGCTTCTGACTATGGCTATGGAGAGGCAAGTCATGAAAAGAATGGACGCTCAAGTGCTGCCCCTCGGGAAAAAGAGAAACCTTCTGGTCGTGACTGGTCGGGGTCGTCTGATAGGAGGCACCGTGAGGAGAGGGAGCAGGAATGGGACAGATCTGAAAGGGATCATCGGGAGCCCCGTCACAGGGAAGAAAAAGATAGCTATAGAGACCACCGAAAGAGAGAACGTGACACAGGTTATGATGATGACTGGGATAGGGGCAAGTCTTCTTCTAGGCATCAGAGCAGGTCACGTGCGGTGCCTGAAGAAGATCACCGGTCAAGGTCACGGGATGCTGATTATGGAAAGAGGAGACGTCAGCCATCAGAGTGATAACACCTTTGCATTTGGACCTTATTTTCTATCCTCTTGGGTTGCTAAACCGTCAGAGCAGCCTTTGCAGTTATCTACATTGACATGTAGCTGCAGAATGTGATCTCTTGAAGAAAGAAGTAAGTTCTACTAGTAAGGATGAGAGTGTCTAAGTACCTCGTTTCTTTCTTTCTGCATTCTACTGAATATTATTAGATGAACCCAGTGTTTGTGTGTTAGAAAACAGAGTGGTCTTACTCTGCTACTTACATGGCTATGCTAGTGGGTCTGCACTCAAGTATCCCACTGTTGAACACCTCATTGAACTTATATTTGTTTTGGATAGTCTGGTTGTCGGTTGGTGAACTTGATCTAGAACTCTCATCTTGTTTTTTTTTCTTTTTTTTGTAGCCGCTAAGAGACTGATCTCTATTGTTATTTTGGTTAAATGAAGCTTCAGTTGATATTTGTGTAGATTTTCGTGGTAACTGCCATGATTTTCTTACTTGTACCCTTGCACTCATTGGCATCAGATGCCATTAAATTTTGTTGACAGAAAGGATGGCAAATTGGCAATGTCTTGGACCCTTGTATCTGATGATCATTTACCTAATGCTGTTTAATTTTTACTTTAAGGTTCATCGGGAAAGCTAGGTTGGGGCTTTAACCTTCAAAATGCCTATTTGTTTCTTTTTTTATTGGCCATTTAGTGGTAGTGAATAGTGGGATAGCTTTCCTCACTCAAGTTTTTTTTTTTTGACCGGCTTACTCAAGTTTACTGCTTTACTTGTTTGATTTGTTGCTATAACTGAACAAAGTTTCATTGGGGGACGGTCTATGCCTGCTCCAATTTGTGTCATTAGCATTTCACATGATTTTGGAAAGTGAATTAATCCCTTAGTTTCTCTGTAGAGGTTTAACTTTGATTTGTCTTTTATTGCTTTTTTTTTGTTTGTCCGTTAACTTGCTAACTCTTTGATTTGTCTGTTTTGTTTTGCTGTTCGATAGTTATTTCTTCTTTCTTTTGACATAGTAGCAAATTCTAACTTCCATATGACTAGTCCCTGAGCCAAATATTAAAATCTCTGAAGCCTAAGTGAAAGCTTTCAATTGAAAGTTCGTAAAGGAGGTTCCCAAGACAAGACTCTCTTGTTTGCTTCCTCACTTTTCTTGTTTTGGCTGATGGTTTCTTTCTTTGAAGTATGTTCTCTTAGCGACTGTTAAAAAATAGAAGAGTTTGTTTTCTTTAGCCTTGCCAGACTTCTACTGGTGTCTGGAAGGTTTAGACAGTGCTAAATGAAGCCACCCAAGTCTGTAGAATTTGGAGCTGCATCATAGTTCTACCATCATAGTGTTTCGTACTTGAAACCTGACCCCCAGCCTTGGAATTTTCCCCCGTCCAAGTGATTTCTTGCTCACTCTCTAGATATCAGCTTCATTGCAATGTTGGTTGAGTATTTCCCCTCTTGATGACTGAACCTGTTGATGTTGAGAGCATGTTTTGTGTCACACACAAGTCTGTAGTGTCATGGAGGTGTGTTGTCGGTAGGATGCATTATCAGGAAATGGTTAGTTGAATGTTGAATCACTTTGCTGTTAGGGTATGAAGTTGTGGGTCTTGGGTGCTTGTCTTTAAAACTTGACTTCTTTGATTGTTTATTGACATGTTTTACTATCAATCCAGGGAGTAGGCTGGACATCTGTTTTTCAATGATTGAATGCAACTGTAATGGTTGCTTGGGGGAAGATGTGTTAGATGAGCTGCCTTCATTGTGTTCCTCCCTTTATGGTTTTCGGATTGCCAAGGTTGCAAAAGAAGCCTCCATTGTCCTTGTTTGTATCCATTTTTCGGTTTAAATCTGTGTACTATGCTCCTACAAGAATGCTTGAAGCTGCGAAATGTTGAAGGGATGTGAGCGACTTGTTTTAGCTCATAACGACCCGATGTCTGTTTTTTTGTTGTTGTTCTTGTTGTAAATCACCATTGTCTGTTTCAAAACGTGTAACCGGGTCCTTGGCATGTAAGTGGCCGCCTCTATGTTTTTGCCCTGTGTGTCAGCTTGTATTGCTGCAAGGTCCATGTTTGTAGTTTGTAGTTTGTAATTTCCTTATGTGTAACCTGTTCTTAGAAGAGCTAGTGTTGGGGCAACAGATTGTTGCTCTTACCGACGGCGTATGGCCACTGTACTGGATCACTACTACGAGTCACAGCCGCAGACGAGGGAAGGGTTTCTGAAGTTTTGCTTCCAGTCTTGCCGTTTGCATGTAAATGACTTTTTTTGGATGGTTTAACCATTTCATACCGCTAAAATCACATACTGTTCGGAGTCTGATATCTCATTTTCCCATTCAACCAGCCGGTACGGTTCAACCGTGTCATATCGCTCAAATCTTCTACCATTTCGAATATGATATCCGGTATTTCCGTTTGATCGGACGACATGGTAGGTTACTAAAAAATTGATTAATACGCTTCCTACTATTTTTATTAAGAATTATTAGTTAAACCTCAGCTTGAATATCGTCCGACTGATCTATATTGTATAGTTGAGGATCTTGAGTTATTTGGTTCATGAATTTTCACATATAAGCATGCATCGGGACTTTAGAAATCATCATTTCACATATTTAGGGTAGTAGTGATTTATTTACTATTCCTTTCTATTGTTTTTTTCTTCTTCGTTAAATCAGGTGCCCTCATCTTATTAATCAAACTAGCAAGATGCTAGGAGAACCAAATACAACGAAAAGGGGGTATGTCAAGGATACCCCAAAAGCCTGTAAAACACTCAACTAACCACTACAGCAGAAAACAGCTACTGCTACTTAACAAAAATTACATTACGAAATCCCAACACACTCCATATCCTCCACTATGCACCTTGCTGCTCCAATGATCAAAAGATCCCGCTTGATTAGTCCTTGCAAATCAGCTGCGGAGTGAGAAAGCTCATCATGTTTCTGCCTACATCGTTCCTTCCAGATGGAAGCCACCAGGAAGCACCAAATCAACCCTGCAACAACACCATTTTTCTTCCTGCAGAGAGCACAAGCAACTTTCACCGTAGCAGGCCATGATGCACGATAAAAGTTGAGAGAGCATGCACCCTGCACCACTTCTATTGAGTACGAGCACTGAAAAAACAGGTGCTCTCTAGTTTCCTTTCTATTGTTGATGGCCCTAACGTTGATAAGTTTTTTATTATAAAAAATATATAAATTGTAACCAACCGGTCAACGGCCGGGTTCAAAGCTAGTTTAATATATATATCTCTCTCCAACCATAATCTCTTATTTTAGTTGTTACCAATGTCATTTATTTCCATAGTTAGAGTTGATAAATTGTTCAATTATTTATCAAAGTGTTTCCTTAACATGTACTTGTATTTAGATCTCTGTTTATATTTAATTCTGTAGTTTACTATATATATTAATAAGTGAAATACTTTTAAATATTGTATTTTTCTAATATGATGTTACTACAACATTTTACTTGTTTTATAGTTTCATATATTGTGTCGAATATATATTATTCATCGTATTATATTATTAAAAGTATAAATTTTATTTTTGTATATGAATTTGATGTTTATCCAATCTGATTCAAATCGTAACTCAAGAAACTCATAGGGTCTTGAAATTAATGGGCGTTTGTATTTGCCATTATTTAAACTCGATACTCATTGGTTGGATGATTAAAAATGATCCAAAATCGACTCAAGTACACCCATATACTCCCCATGAAAGGATGTAGAACTTGCCCGTTGCGTCATGTCAGTCAGTGCTTATTTGTGTCCTTGAAATCAATATTGATACTTGGAGGGGGGGGGGGGGGGGGGGGGGGGGGGACATCCATAGATCTGGCTCCACTGTTGACTCACAGTATCGATCCTCCCATTACTGAAGAGTGAAGACTGTCAATTTTTCCAATGTCAAGAACTGGTTGATACCAACAACTCGAATTGTTGGGATATGTTCGATAATGGATCTAATACCACATACAAACACGCCATCTCAAAAGAAAGTAACTCATATAGCCTTGAAATTTGTACATACACGAGATGCCATGTGCTTATCAATTGGGGTTACTGAAATTCAAATAGAAGACATTTCGGTCACAAAAAGGTTCTGATACCATGTCATGAACCTTTTGATCCCTATAATACATATTGTTGAGAGATTTCAATAATTGATCTATACCACATGTCGGATCTTATATCACACGACCTAATGCTTCAAGTGCCAACCTGCCATGTAAAGATTTGCAATTGACCAAGGTTGTCAACCCGCGGGTCGACCCACTTTGACCCTGACCCGGTGAGAAAAACGGGCCGCACGCACCCGCCGGGTCGACCGCTATAGGGTACCGGATTGGAGGTCAAATTGTGTCATTTTTTTCTTTGTTTTGCGAAATGCGCCTATTTTCCGATTTTTCTTTTCACCTAACTCAATCTTTGGAATCCTAAGTTGAACATTTGAATATTAATGTTATATAAGTGTGTGTGAATTTTCACTATATGTTGAATGTTGAATCTAAGTACGAAATTTTATTTTGGTTTAATATTATATGTTATAACTCATATGTTAGATGAGATTTGATATAATTTATCAGGATAAATACAATATAATGACGCTTTTCATATTTCCGGGCTAAACCGGGCTAAAACGGGTGACCCATTAACCCTTGACCCAGTAGCTCAACCGGGTCTGGGTCAACCTGCGGGTTGACAACCTTGCAATTGACTAAAGATTATTGAGTCATGTAAAAACTAAAAAATAAATAATTTACACGTGTGATGTTGGTATGCTTTTACCTAATTGTCCTCGTCTGGTCTCTTTCTTCCATTCTTCGTAATTTTAATTTTCTGTACGGATCTCTGCTCGAACCCTCGGTTTTGTCCGTAGAGAGAGACGCCAGCAGACGACAAATCCATGCGTGCCCGCCTCATCGTCACTATCGCGTGAACCAATTGGATGCCAATCTATTTCTCAACTTCAATCTGCAACTGGGGAACCTAATTTCTCATATCCGTCTTTCAAATCGGTAAATCCTCTCTCTCTCTCTGTCGCCGGCGAATTTCTGACCAGTGGGTATAGCTCTCTATTCTAATGTTTCATTTCAATCTCATGTCTGAATCAGTGTTGAATGTTCCGGACTTCTCGCTGGAGTGGGGTTTGAATCAATTCAGCGATCTGCTGCGGTTTCGAGCTCGCTCTGAGTCTAGGTGGTTGGGCGACTCGCGCTCTTGGTTCTCTTCCTTCCATTTGAAGATTGCTCTTGGTATCAATCTATTGGTTTCTATTATGCTTCGTACTTGCTGCTGTGGCCAATTTGTTCATTGGAGATATTCATTTCATCTTTTTTCTGATACATTTCTGCAGCCCAACCTTTGGGAGTTTATCTATCTGCTCTCCATGTGTGCTCAATACCAGGCTGGTTGTTTAATTTTATTTTAGGGTGCTGCTAATTTGGCAGTCCGAATTAGTGATTGTCAGATTGGTTATTGACTTATTGGAAATGAAATTAATTGAGTTTCAATTGTGTTTCCTCGAGCCTGTAACTTAATTATAAGCTCTTACAAGAGTAGGGTTCCGGTTGAAGTATCTCTATTTGTTGGTATACTTTATCTTTCTTTGGTATGGGACTGTTTTACATAGTGAAAAGCATAATATATACCGTCTCTGCCATTCGGTAGTATAAAATTTGGTCATTTCTACCTGAAGGAAATGGGTTTGGGGTGAATTATAAGCTTTTAATTTGTTAATTAATGATGCTGTTCTCCTTTGAATTCTTACTTGTTGTTTTACGATTGTGTCTCAGAAGTTTTAATCTTCACCAATGTTCTCTTGTGTTTTAGAAGCGTCCGGATCTTATGGCTGATGAGCGAATTGATTTTGAGGATGAAGAATATGGAGGGCCTCAGAAGTTGCAATTTCAAGGAAGTGGTACTATTCCTGCTCTTGCAGAGGAAGAGATGGGTGAAGATGATGAGTATGATGATCTTTATAATGATGTGAATGTTGGTGAGAATTTCCTACAAATGCATCGATCTGAACCACCAGCCCCACCTGCTAATGTGAGCAATGGTGGGTTCCCAACTCAGAGTGCTACTGATTCCAGAGTTGAAGTGACTGGTGGTGCTGGTTCACAAGCTATACACAATCCTGGAGTTGCTGCTGAAGGGAAGTACACTAATCCTACAACACATTTCCAAGAGACAAAGGAGGGTCCTTCCGTAGTCAATGGACCAGAAAAAGCATCAGCTGGCTACCCAGATGGATCTGCTTCGCTAAAAGGAAAGACCATGGAGATGCCACATGATACTCAAGTTCGAAATATGGGATTTCAAGGAGCATCATCAATATCATCAAATATTGCTGTTGACCCTTCTGGTATGAATAGAAAAGTTCCTATTGAGCCATCGCCTATGCCAAGTACTGGAGCAGGTAGTCTCACAAGTGTTCCTCAGATGCCAGCTAATCAAATGGGCATAAATGCGGGTGGCAATATCATCCATGAAAATCAGGTAAGGGCTCCTATAGATAATGGTGCAACTATGCTGTTTGTTGGAGAATTGCATTGGTGGACAACCGATGCAGAGCTTGAGGTTGTTTGTTCTCAATATGGAAGAGTCAAGGAGATCAAGTTCTATGACGAAAGAGCTAGTGGTAAATCTAAGGGTTATTGCCAAGTTGAATTTTATGAGTCAGCTGCTGCAGCTGCTTGCAAAGAGGGAATGAATGGGTTTATGTTTAATGGCCGAGCATGCGTTGTGGCTTTTGCTTCTCCTCAAACAATTAAGCAAATGGCGTCTTCTTACATGAACAAAAGTCAGAATCAGCCTCAGGCACAGACACAGGCTAGAAGGCCTATGAATGATGGTGCTGGGAGGGGTGCCACGATGAATAATTATCCAGTTGGGGATGGTGGGAGAAACTTTGGAAGGGGTGGGTGGGGCCGTGGTGCACCAGGTGTTCTCAATAAAGCTCCTGGAGTTGGTGGACCAATTAGAGGAAGAGGAGGCATGGGTGCTAAGGGTATGATGGGGGGTGCTGCTGGTGTTGGAGGCGGTATCAATGGGGGAGGCTATGGACCGGGGCTAGGTGGTCCTGCATTTGGTGGTCCTGGTGCTGGAATGATGCCTCCACAGGCAATGATGGGAGCTGGATTCGATCCAACATACATGGGTAGAGGTGCTGGCTTTGGAGGATTTGGAGGAGCTCCTGGCTTTCCAGGCATGCTTCCTCAATTTCCATCCGTTAACACGATGGGACTTGCTGGGGTAGCTCCTCATGTCAACCCAGCATTCTTTGGTCGTGGTATGGCTCCTAATGCTATGGGGATGATGGGTACCTCAGGAATGGAAGGGCCAGGCATGGGAATGTGGTCTGAGACCGGCATGGGTGGATGGGGAGAAGAGCATGGAAGAAAGACTAGAGAATCAAGTTATGGTGCTGAAGATGGTGCTTCTGACTATGGTTATGGAGAGGCAAGTCATGAAAAAAATGGACGCTCAAGTGCTGCCCCTCGGGAAAAAGAGAGACCTTCTGGTCGTGACTGGTCGGGGACGTCTGATAGGAGGCACCGTGAGGAGAGGGAGCAGGAATGGGACAGATCTGAAAGGGATCATCGGGAGCCCCGTCACAGGGAGGAAAAAGATAGCCATAGAGATCACCGAAAGAGAGAACGTGACTCAGGTTATGATGATGACTGGGATAGGGGCAAGTCTTCTTCTAGGCATCAGAGTAGGTCGCGTGCTGTGCCTGAAGAAGATCACAGATCAAGGTCACGGGATGCGGATTATGGAAAGAGGAGACGTCAGCCATCAGAGTGATACAAGTTGACTATACGTTTACATGAGGACTTATTTCTGTCCTCGTGGTTCCAAAACCAGAACATCAGCCTTTGCAGTTTCTGCATTCTACCTTAAACTGCAGAAAGTGACCTCTTGGGGGAAGAAGTAAGTTCTATCATTAGGATGAGAGAGTGCCTCAAGTCTCTCGTTTTTTTCTTACTGCATTTTACCGAACATCATTAGATGAACCCTAATATCTGTGTGCTAAAAATCATAGTATCTCTTGCTTGCAAACGTATGGTTATGCTTGAGCGGCTGGATTAGAGTATCCCACGTTGATGAACTCATTGAACTTATATTTATTCTGGATAATCTGTTGGTGAACTTGATCTAAACCTGTTATGTCTTTTTGAATCTTATGTTCTTTTAATTGTTTAGTGAAGGTTCAGAATGATAGCTAAGCTTCATATTGGCTACCTGTTTCTTGTTTCATTAACCATTTAGTGGGAGTTAATGACAGTTAGCTTTCTTCATTAAAGTTTACTCATTTACTCATTTTACTCACTTTCAATAAATCAATAACTGTATCCAGGGTATGCTGACACACCTATCTACTCTAACCCATTCCATCGATGCTTCTCATCATTTTGGGAAGCCCAAAATTCCTCTAGTTTTTCTATTGAGATTGAAAAAAGAAAGTTTGATCTTGTGCTATGTTGCTTCTTCATTTTGTCTTTTAAGTTGGTAATTCATTGATATTAGTCTGTGTGGTTGGTTGTTCTAGTTTTTGCTTTTCTTTTTTCACATAGATGCAAAGTCTCATGTGATTTCATTCTCCATGTAGTAGCTGTCGAGCCAAACATACTGAACTGTATGCATTTCTCTTCTGGCCTCTGAAAGCAGAGTACAGCATATGTAATGTTCATGCATGCGTGGCTCTTATTTGAAATTTCTAAGTGGAGGTTTCTGAGATGATACTCTTAATTATTTGCTTTTCTTGTCTTGGCGAATGTTTTTCTTAGAGTATGTTATTTTACTCTTGTCAGTCTTCTTGAGTTGTCTGGAGGTTTAGAAAGGACTGTGTCGAACCATTCGACACGTATATAATTAGAAGTACATATGGCTATTCAATCATAGTGGCTCTTACTTTAAACATCATGAGTTTGGTTGAAGTGAGATGTTACTGTTGAATCACAGATTCATTTCAGTGTTTGTTAGTTATTTCTTCCGTTGGGTGGCTGAACCAGTTGACTTTGATAGCATGTGTAGTGTCACGAAAGTATGATATTGATCGCTACAGGATGTCATTATCAGGAAATGGGTAGTTATCTGTTGGATATCTTTGCTGTTAGGATATGTAGTTGTGCTCTTTCTTGCAATTGGACACATGTCTTGTGGATTTTAGAGTTGCCTGTCGTTGAAAATTCAGTTTTTTCGATTGTCCATTGACACAGGAGTTTTCTTTTATTATCAATCCAGGGAGTGCAGTGGACTACTCCTATTTTTTCAATGATTGAATTCAACTGTTATGGTTGCCTGGAGGAAGATGTGTTAGATGGCTGTCTTCATTGGATTCCTCCCTTTGTAGTAGTTTGTTTTTTCCAAAGGTTTCGAAAGAAGCCTCAATTGTCATTGGCTCATGACGACCTGGTGTCGTTTTTTGATGTAAATCACCATTGTCTGTCTCAAAATGTGTAACTGGGTCCTTGGCATGTAAGTGGCCTCCTTTTAATAGCATCTTTCTTCTTCTTCTGTATTTTGCCCTCTGAGTCAGCTTGTATTGCTGCAAGGTCCATATTTGTACATGACAAACCCCCTTGTAATTTCCTTATGTAATCTGTTATGCCCTAGAAGAGCCGGAGTAGAGGCCGCAAATAGTTCATAGTAACTGCCCTTATGTAATCTGGTCACTAGTCACTACAAGTCACAACCACAGGTGAGGAGTCTCAGATGACTTGCCATTTGCATGTAAATAATTTTTAGCATAGCTCAGACCTCGTTCTCTTAGGAGCTTTCAGTAGTGCAGGCTGTTGTTGCAGGTGGCTGGGACTGAACAAATTTTGGTTTGCTGAGGTCATATTATTATGCAGTTCTGTCTCTGTATCGGCACCTATACATGTATTAGTTGCATTGTATATAGCAAATTTTTTGTGTGCATATCACATGTTTAATCTGTGCAAGAGATTGTAGATTTCTTCCATTGACATGGGACATTGTAGAGAATCTGATTTAGTGTATGATTGATAGGTAGCTTCTTTGCAGTTTTTGTGCTAATGTAGTTCCTTTCTTTTGCGTGAAAGTGCACAATTGTGCATTTTTCGGTCTGTGTCTCGGCATGGATTCCCCAAGAAGCGGTTCAGTTTTGTAGATTTTGTTTGCCGATCAATTGTTGTTGCTACATTTGTTATTAACCCGATAGTTCAATGCTTGGATTGTGATTTGTATTTCGGAGGAAGGGGGAATTTGCAGGAGCTGAAGTTTGTAGAATTGATTTGGGACTGCTGGAGTCGTTGTATAGACAAGTTCAGTGCCTTGCGCTTCTTTTCTGTTTATGCATCCATTTCACCCTAAAGTTCAGTGCCTCTGCGCTTCTTTCCTTTCTTTGCCAATAGACAAGTTCTCTTCCTTTCCAAATGCGTAAGGGAATTCGTGAATTGAGGGACCTGACAAAAGGCCTTTGCTCCTTCACCGAAACTTAGGGGTCGTTTGGAACCTTTGATTCTGAAAATGATGTATTACGAGAATCGGAGAATGTGTGAATTAACGATTATGTGTAATTGTGTATACTAAGAATGTGTGGTTTTGAAAATTCATTGTTTAGAACTCATAAAAGAATGCATGAATTATAGTATACTCAAATCTCACAAAAAAGGTAAGATTATTAATACATCATTTTCTATGTATTAGGAATACAATATGTATCATAAATACAAGCATTCTATTATTACACCAAGTAAAAAAACCGTTGTATTCCCTGGATACATGTATATCGAGAATACAACATCTGGAATTGGAGGTACCAGACGAGCCCCTAGGTTCCAAAAGAGCATATGGAATCATGGTTATTGAAAAAAAGTAATTTAGCTTTGTTCCCAATCTCCATTATTGAATGAGTGACAAAATCGTGAATGATTGCATATATTAAAATCAATATATCATATACATGTCTCTCACAAATTGTGGCTATGCCACACTGAACGATCTCATATTTCTTTCGCCTTGTTATTCTCTTGATTAGTGTTGTACTAGGGGTGGCAGTTCAGTTACCGGTTATCGGTTAACCCGATACCCGGTTGGGTATCCACTAACCGGTAACCAAAGTAACTGAATTTCGGTCGGTTATCAGAAGCTGGCCAAAATGGGTTTTGGTCTTAAAAGTGGTTCGGTTAACCGATAACCGAGGTAACCAAGAAATCAAAGCTTATTTCGTCGGTTTTCGGTAATGTGAGTGTTTATTTTGGTTAACCGATAACCGGCCAATCAATTACCGGTTATAACCGAAATAACCGAACTGTCACCCCTAATTTGTACTTTGATTAAATTGGGATTTAACCGTAGGACTTTCTTGTATTTCATTTCTATTTATTTGCAGTTACATATTTGCTCGATGATATAGTTTTCCCGCTTGAAAGGGTACATGGGCTTATTTATGCGTGTGCCAAGCCAAGCCAAAACCCTTCGATTAGTCTCGTAAAGCTCTAGTATGGCTGGCAACAGTGCTTCCTCACTGAATACTCTTGTCTCTGTTGATGGATGACGAGCGGCGACGAGGACGAAAGTCGGCGAGACTGGAAGTCAGAAGCTCGGCCTGGGCGTCGTCATCGTTGTCCTCCAGCTAAATCAATGGCCGCCTTCAGTAGATTAGGAGATGTTTCAACCTGAAAACTGCAATACGGATAGTTGTTAGTAGTTCTCTGCAATTTTCCAACTGTTCTTGGTGCTACATGCGAGGGTTCTATTTGAAAAGCTTGAAATTCGGCGGTTCAAGAATCTCGATTGCTGTTGGCGTTAATGTTAATCTTCTTCGACTCTTCGGCTCCCAACCTGTTAGTCGGTATCCGACTTTCACGACCAGTGGTTACCAACTGCTTCAATGCCTCTCCAAACACAGGATATATGACGCACGCAACCTGCTCGACGAAATGCTCCCAGGGGGAACCTCCCGCAGCCGTACGGTTTACTGCACTTCTCTGGTTACCAAGTTTTCCAGGAGTGGGTTCGTGGATGAAGCTCGCTTGCTGTTCGATATCATGCCAGCGGAGAGGAACGTTGTTACTTATAACGCAATGTTGTCCGGTTATGTCCAGTGTGGGAGATTGAAGGAGGCGATGGCTCTTTTTCGAGAGATGCCTGAAAGGAATGTTATTTCTTGGACATCGATGCTTTCGGGGTTGGCTGATGCGGGAAGAATCGACGAGGCCAAGTTGCTGTTCGTGAATATGACTGAGAAGAACGTGGTTTCATGGAATGCCATGGTTGTTGGGTTGATTAGGAATGCGGATTTGGAGAATGCGAGGTTGGTTTTTGACAAGATGCCTGTTAAGAATGTGGCATCTTGGAATGCCATGATTGCTGGGTACGCAGATATTGGTCGAATAGAAGAAGCGAGGACCCTGTTTGATATGATGCCTGATCCAAATGCACTGACTTGGACTAGTATGGTTTCTGGTTATTGTCGGGTTGGAGAAGTGGCCGAGGGATATAATATGTTTCAGAGAATCCGTGACCGGAATGTCATTTCTTGGACATCCATGATTAGCGGATTCACATGGAATGGCTTCTATGAAGAAGCGTTGTTGCTTTTCCTAGAGATGAATAGAACATCTGGTGTAGCACCAAACAGTGAGACCTTGATTTCCCTTGCTTATGCATGTGCTGGCTTAAGATTTTCTGAACTTGGCCGGCAGGTTCATGCTCAGATGCTGATTCAGGCAATGCAATGTGACGATTATGATGGCAGAATAGCTAAGAGCCTTATTTACATGTACTCTTCATTTGGTACCATGCCCTCTGCACAATACTTATTCGACAACTTCTCCGACGATTCTGTTCTTCAGTCTTACAATTGCTTGATTAATGGCTATGTTAGGGTTGGAGACTTAGAGAAGGCTCGAATTTTATTCGATGCAGCTCCTTCCCGTGACAAGATCACGTGGACTTCGATCATTAGTGGTTACTTCAGTGTTGGACTCGTGTTGCAGGCTTGCCATCTATTTCACTACATGCCTTTCAAGGATGAAATTGCATGGACAACAATGATCACAGGGCATATACAAAATGAGCTCTTTGATGAAGCTATGCATTTCTTTTTGGAAATGAGGACTTTTGGTGTTATTCCTCTAAGTACCACATACACCGTTCTTTTTGGTGCTGTGGGTGCAATGGCATATCTTGATCACGGAAGATCGCTGCATGGGATGATTATCAAGACACAACCTGGCTTTGACTTGATCCTTGAGAATTCTGTAGTCTCCATGTATGCAAAATGTGGGGAGCTCCGTGATGCCTGTAAAATTTTCTCACGGATGACTTCACGCGACGATATCTCTTGGAATTCTATGATTATGGGGTTCGCTCATCATGGTCTGGCCAATGAAGCCTTACAAGTTTTTGAAGCCATGATGGAATCAAGAACACGCCCCAACTCCCTCACCTTTTTGGCTGTCTTATCAGCATGTAGTCATGCTGGCTTGCTTGACAAAGGGTTGGAGTTATTCACTCTGATGACTGATGTTCATGGAATCCAACCAGGTTTGGAACATTGCATCTCTGTTGTCAACATACTGGGCCGAGCAGGAAAATTTGAAGAAGCAGAGAAATTCATCGCAGGACTACCATTCCATAGACACCCTGCTATGTTGGGAGCAATACTCGGTGTAAGCGGACCAGACAAGAGAAGTCTTGGAATTGCCGAACGGTCAGGGAAGCTACTCCTTGAAATCGACCCGATGAATGCATCTGCTCATGTCCACCTCTGCAACTTGTATGCATCAAACCATCACCACCTGAAGGAATATAAGCTGAGGCGGGAGATGGTTGTGAAGGGGGTTAAGAAGGTTCCAGGGTGCAGCTGGATCGTCCTGAGCGGGAAAGTTCACATGTTCTTATGTGGAGATTCGTTGAACCCAGAAGCTGAAGAGTTGTTAATCTCCATGTCCAATTCCTGTTGCGGCTGAAACAGCAGTTCTCCAAGTTGCTTCCATCCTAGTAAATGGTAATTCTTGCAGACTTTTCATTGTATCAGTAAATTATTATGTGTCCACTTTTAGAAACAAATTGCCTAATGCCAACTATGTGTGAATCAAATCACCACCTTAACAAGAAAATTCAAAATTTACAGTATCAATGTACCTCGAGATTTAAATGATTTTCTCTATCCATCTAACTAAATACGTTTTTTGCACTCGTTCATTACCTACTACATACCTAGTAGATAATAAGAGTTAAGAGGAGTTTCCTATTTGGTCTCGTCGATTCAGAATCAGGATTAATAGACAATTAAAATGTAGCACAGGTAAGATTAATTTTACAATTTGGAAGAGATTTTTCCACTTCTCTATCGGACTGTCCCATTTCTCTTATTTCAGATTCTTCGTCGGATAACTTATTAACTTCCACCGGCGTCCATCATAGAAAGCAAAAGGATAGCAATCCTAAGACACGCCGTTTTGAAGTCAAGCGTCCTTCCGTTCAGAAACTGAAAAAACTAAAAGTGGAAAGAAGAGAAGAATTCGAAGCGCTCCGACCCTTCAGCGGGAAACTGCACTGCCGTTTGCCGGCCGCTGCCGGCCAATATAATAAAAATAAAAAACCACCGCCATTGACGAAAATCCAGAAGCTTAGCTTGCAAGCCAAGTTTCGCATTCCGCCCCCGCTGTATTATTATAAACAGGTGCGCACATACGAGTTGCAGACAACTCACGGAGAATCGCTTCAGCTTCTGTTTACATATATCTTTCTTCGTCTTCCATTTTCCTAACAGATTGATTCTGCAACTGGGTTCTTCTATCTGCAGGTTCCGTCGATCAATAATTTAAGGGAAAAGATAGAAGAGCCTTAATAAAAGTTGAGAATAAAACATGATTAATTACAATCTTATGCTGTTCTTCTTAGTTTTAGTTTCATTTTCTCCAAATTGCCAGTCATGGGGATGGTTCTCTTCATCTTCTTCTTCTTCGTCCTCTTCGGCTTCTGCCGCCGAGGATGGAGGAGGAGGGGTGGCGGTGGCCGAGTTCTCCATGGATGGTCCTGCAAATGCGAAAGCAATGGAACTGGTTGAAAAGGCTAGGAGTAAATTGGTTGGTTCGAATTCTTGCTGGCAGAATGCTTACCAACACGTCTTTGCTGGGTGCACCCAAATTCTCGCCAATGACGAGAAACGCTCTAGATTCGCCTGGCATCTCAGTGATTGCTTTCAGAAGGACTCTGCGAGGAGACCCTTCCCTCACTGTGGCGAGAATTCGGCCATGGTTCATTGCTTGAAGAAGTTGGATGACCATGAACAGAATATCTATCTCGAGTTCTTGCTGGAAACCAATTCCATCTGCTATCAATTGCAGTTGAGTACTGTGAAATATTACCATCTTCTGTTCTGCATGCCTGACTCTGTTCATTAATTCCCTGTTGCAAATTTCTGAACCCAGAAACTGAAATTGGACTCATTGTTGTTGTTTTATGGTTTGGTTTGCAGGGTACACGCCTTCAAGCGTGAAACCGAGAGGTTGGTTAATGAATTAACAAGTTCAGCGCTGTATACAGAGCAGAAACTGGACGTAATAAAAGATATAACGTCCTCTCTACTACTGAGATCGAACCAGATCCATGATTCGTTGAATTCAATGGATCTCCAAGTTCAGCATGTCATCCAAACGACAAAGGGCGTGGAGAATCAAATGGACACATTGTCGAAGCACTCGGAAGCTGTTTACAGGCGATCGGAAGAAATCGCACAGTCACAATCAGAGCTGCGAGCAGGACAAGAAAGGATGAATGAGGTCTTGAAGGAGGGAGTGACAATGCTTCACGATGCTTACAACAGTTTGGGCGAGGAAGTAGGCAAGCTGAGGAATGAGGCTATAGAGATCGTGAAGCAGGTTGACAGTGTAGGAGAAACAATGTCATCCAAGTTTCAGACTTTACAGAGCAAAGCCGATGACATCGAGAACATGGCTGGAAGCTCCTTGAGCAAGCAGCAAGAGCTTTTAGATGGCCAATCCACTGCACTAAAAGGTCTTCAGATCCTCACGGAATCCCAATCTGCAGCGCTAGAAGAAAGCAGGAATGCCGCGCAACATTTGGTTGATCTGAGTCGTAAACAGCAGGAAGAGCTTCTTCATAGGCAGGAGCAACTTCACCAAGTTCATGATCACTTGGTTGAGAATTCACAGTCGATATTGGCAGCACAGGTTTGATTTTCTTCAGCAAACCATCATTCCAAAATCTCCCCAATTAATTACAACTGAAACTGCAGCCTAAATTACTCGTTTTTGACAGGAAGCTTTTGAGAAGAAGCAAGCAACCATGTTCGTCGCTCTCGACAAGTTGTTCGATCTGCATAACGCAATGCTGCTCGAATCACGAGCAATCAAAGCTTTCTTCGTCTACGTTATGTCGACTTTCATCATCTACATGCTCACGAGCACGAAGCAGACATATCCAGTGAGGGCAAACCTCTATATTGGTACGTTATATCTCCTTCCTGTCCTGCACCTCTTTATATTTACTTGTAGAAGGACTAGAACATGATATACATGAATGGCTTCTTACCATTGCAGGTCTATGCATCACTTTCATCATGGAAGTGGCAATCATTCGAATCACACCAGGTGATATCGAGCAACAAACTTGGATAATCAATCTGATGAGGTCCTTGTATGCTGTGCTAGCTATTCTTCAGCTTCTACACGCCATTTACACATACAGGTTCGTCAAAGGGAAGACTCTTCCAAGAGCTGTGATACACCCATATAGTTTAGTTGCATTTGAAATTGGACCTAATGATTCATCATATTTTTGCAGGGACTATGAAGCGATAAATCATAAAATGATCGCGTCGTTGGTAGAGATGGTAAACTGCTTGCAAAGAAACAAGGAGGATTCATGGGAAGAAGACAGCGATGTCGATTGGTCGTCGTGGATCGAAGATGAGTTGCCAGAAGAAGTTGCCAGTTTAGAAGATCCTGACTACGTACCTCCCAATGACATGACAGACAAGTCGATCATATGTGTTCCCAAGACGAGAAACTATGATCTCCGCAAGAGACACCATCAACTGTTATCTTGATGGACATTTCACATTTTAGTCCCCAATTTTTAATGTACTAGCAAATTAGTTATAGCATGATCAACATTTTCTATTTAATATTTTACGTTCCATTTATATTTTTTAATGTTTAACATCTAGCTAATAGTCGTGATCTTTTGACTGCATAGGCCTTCGTGACTAAGAGTTGAATGTCTTATTTATAAACATGCATTGCTTATGTCAATTGCTTATGGTTATTGACAACTTATTGGGTGTTTGATTGAGACATTAGTATATGGTTGATCAACCTGTGGTAGATATATGTACATTTGGGTCGTGAATATGATTATTGATAAAAAAAGGAAGATGTATTAAGTTGCTTTCTAATTATAAAAAAAGTAGAATGAAAAGGTACCAAACATTGTATTCCTCAAATACATTAATTTGAACAATACATATAATTACAATACACACATTCCTTAAATGTATGTATTGTCACTACAACAAAAACTAGCTTTTGCAACCAAAAATTTTACAACCAAACTAAAATTGGTTGTGAAAAGGGTAGTATATACAACCAATTATATTTTGGTAGCTAAAATATTAAAAATTTGGTTGTCTATTAAAATCAAAATATTGATAACCAAATAAAACTTGAAGAGACCAAATGATTTGGTAGCAAAATGATTTTCACTTTTTCCAACCAAAAATTTTTGGTAGCAAAATGATTTTTAGTTTTTCCAACCAAATAATTTGGTAGCATATTGATTTTTACTTTCTCCAACCAAATATTATTGGTTATGAATTTAAGCAAGAAATTTTAAAATGTTAGATAACTAAATAATTTGGTTGCAAATCCAATAAAAAATTTTCAGCAACTAAATTATATGGTTGTCATAGTGTTTTATAAAAATGTAGGTACTATTCTGACTATTATTAAGACTTAGGGGCTGTCATAGTAATTCTGAACAAAACAATCCAATATTGGCGTTGTCTATCGACAAATCCTTTGTTGGACTCAGAGGTGAATTCGATTCCATCCAAGTGATCGGGTAAGAGACAAGGTTTGGGTATTTCGATTCCATCCGATTTCTCCTTCTCCTCCTATTCTTTTGTCTCCTCGATCATGTCGATTCCATTCGGTTTCTACTCTTCTTCTCGATTCCGATTCCGATTTCGATTCTGACTCCAACTCCTCCTCTTCTCCAGTCTCCAGAAGAATCACGGTTTCAAGCAAGCAAAGAGTTCATCTGCTTCGCGCAATAATTCCTCCCTCTCGATCGATTCTCAAAAGGTAACTTCAGATCCTAGCTTATTTCTGATCTCTCTCTAAGCTGAACTACTTCAAAAGTCGGTTGGAATCCCATTTTCACTTTTGAGCTGAGTCAAATTCAAGAGGCACTTCGAATCTCTATTGTGGATTTGAATTTATCTCGGGTGGTCGGCGTACCTTGATTTCGGATTTGAACTAGATTTGAACTTGAATTCGATTTAGTCAGTGTATTGCCGATTTACTTGTGTTGTCGTTCATTAGCTGCCATTCAAGGAAGCAAAATAGGGAATCAGATTCCATCCGAGTTCTCCTCCCCCTCTTCTTCTTCCGATTCGATTCCAGTGGTCGATTCGATTCCAGTAGTAAGAAACAAGTGTTGTCGTTCATTAGCTGCCATTCAAGTGGTCGGTCGGGTAAGAGACGAGGTTTTCGACTTGTCGATCCCGATTCCATCCGAGTTCTCCTCCCCCTCTTCTTCTTATGTCGATTCCATTAGATTTCTCCTCCTCCTCTTCTCGATTTCGGTTCTGACTCTAGCTTCGCCTCTTCTCCCGTCTCGTCTTAATCTGATTCCCTATTTTGCTTCTTTGAGATCCGGAGATGTAACTGAGAATACTGAGATCTCGAAGCCAGACTGTGGGGAGCACGGCAAGGGTGGTTAGGAATGCAAACAAGTGGTGGGGATCCAGAAATATCTCAACTACTCCACCCAAACTTAGATGAGCATTTGGGAATAATGCCGACAAGTTGTCGCTCTCCAGAATGATGTACTCAACACAACAAGCCTGCACCCAGCCATTGAGATTGAAATTCATTATTTACTGTTTCATAGATCGTCTAAGGATTTAGCGGGCTAGCTAGGTGTCAGATTCAATAATATCATGATATGGACACAGAAACAGTGATCAATTCATGAGTATCAATTGCTGCTGGTGTCTAGCTAGCTAGCTAGCTAGTCCATGCATGTTAGCAGATCGATATCGTAGCTAGCTAGGTTCTTGTCTGTTTGCTTGTTTTGGGTGAACAAACTGTGACAGGCAGGCAGGCAGCATGCATGTAATTATTGTAATGTTATGGGTCATCCGAAAAAGTCTTCTCCATGAATATGTTTGTTGTAAACAAGTTTGCTTGAGGTTCTTTTCTCAAGACACTACTGTTTCCCTTTGTTAATTTGTTGCCTGAAGGAGTCAACAGAGCCCTTATGTGATTTCTTACAAGGATGAGAGGGATGACTACTGAGGTTGGCTACATATCCATGTAGTTAGGTGGAATGGAATTTAGTATCTAGGTGGTTTACTTGTTTGAGATTAGAGAATTGAAAGGGATAGTTGATGATTCAAATAGACTCTCTGCTGCATACCTTGATTTCGGATTTGAACTAGATTTGAACTTGAATTCGATTTAGTCAGTGTATTCCCGATTTACTTGTTTGAGATCAGAGAAGTGAAAGTGAACTTGGATTCCATTTAGTCACAATGCTATTAATCATGCTGTCAACCAATCCTATGCTATTTATCACCTGCTGACTTCAAGCTTCTGGTAAACAACATATGTTCTATGTATAAAGCTATCCTGTAAACTGGAACTGCAGGGGTAGAGAAAAGCAAAGGGTTGCTGTAATTAAGATCCCAAAACCTTGTCAGTTTTTTTTATCTTGTTTCTGTTCTTTTCTAAATTGTGTTGCTTTCAAATTGGTGTCTGGTCATTCCTTTTCCTACACATAGCAACGTACAATATAGCTTTGTTTCAATGCTTGGTTTCATTATCTTACGGAATTATCCGGTGGTTACGGTTTTGAGGATTAATGGTAATTGCTTATGTCTACAATGCATGCTACTGTTCAACCAAATCACAAATCAATCTCAGTAGCACAAGTGCTAGAATTCGCACATGTGGAAATTATGAATCCTTTTATTATGATGCTAATTTGTTCCATTTCTCTTATACAGGATAAGTTGAACATGGCGCTCTATATGAAACGCCAAAGTCAGCAGGGCAACAAAGTCTTTGCTTCTTCTTCTAAACAATCTACCCAACCTAATGTTTCAAAGATGTTCAAGGTTTGTCCAAACAGTGGACCTTCAGAAGTTGTACTTAATGATCCAAATGAGAAGAAGAAGAAGAAAACTAGTGGCCTGCCTGCTTCTTGGAACCAGTCTGCCCAACCTAATATTTCAAAAAAGCTCAAGTCTCCTGCCAACTACATACCTCCAGAAGAAGACATTCTTAATGAATTCGAGGTAGAAGAAGATAGGATGTTTTCTTCGTCTAAGAATGAAAATCCAAATCATCAAAAGAAGAACAACACTAGAGGCCCCACCCGGGGTTTGGATACTGTCAAGTTGGCTGCTGCCATGGGTAAGGAGAAGCTACCTATCAAGATTGACGTTATGCAAGGTCGACCAACTAACGGTGTCCAATTTGCCAAGCTGTCTAGTGAGCTTGGTCTGATCAGCCGAGAGTATTTGGACGAGATGCCGATTCGCTGGACCTGAGAGTTCAAGAAGAACCATTTAACATCTGCCTATGATAGACTTGGTGTAAGTACTATTAGTTTCCTATTCTATTAGCTTTTATGATGTCAAATTACTGACATTTTATGTTCCATTTTTTCATAACAGATGCAACTAGAAGTGGAGGATATTGAAGAAGAACCTGTTCAGGATTCTATCAATGAGTTGCTACAAAGGCAGTGCAAGCAACAACGTCACCGCCTGAAGCAAATCTTTCTGAAGTGTCGAGATGCAGAGGAAGCTCGAACAAAGAAACCTTCTGGAGTAAGCCAGCAGAATTGGGATATTTTGGTCGACTATTGGAGTGACGACAAAACTGTGGTATTATTATCTTTTCCTCTATTTACTTGTTTCTAGAGTTGTGATCAATTGGTAACATATAAGTTACATTCTGGCCAAAGAATTTAACTGTATAATCATAAATGGGTAGGTTGTGGCAGCATATATGGGTGTATATTGTTGATTGGCTTTGTTTGGTTCACACTTGGACTCTTGGTTGAATTATGTGGGGAAAGCTGATTGCATACTCTCACTTTCTAATGAGGTTTATTGTACTGCTGCTAGCAGTCAATATAAGGGAGAAGCTTTTTCATTAGTATTAGCAGTGGTCATCTTGCTTCTATGGGATTTGCCTCTTGTCAGCCCTTCTGTGGGATTTAACTCTCTCGATAGTAATTTCATCAAGGAAATATGGAACGAACTACTAGTGTAATGAATTGTACTACTGCTCCCCTTGTTTGTAACACATTCTGTGTTTATTTGTGTATGTGTTTTACAGCATGTTGCTGAAGTGAATACAGTGAATCGACAAAAGATCAAAGCAATGCATCGTCAAGGACGTAAAGCCTTTGTTGTGCTTCGAGAGGAAGTTGTAAGATTTATGTGATCTATAGTACTGTATATTTCTTTTTTTGTCTTGTCTGTAGTGCCACTTATCAGTTCATACCCCCCCACCCCCACCCCAAATGCTATGTTAGCAAATTTACAGTCTCTCTCTTTGTAGAAGAAGACTGAATTGAACGGCGAGGAGTGTGATCGAATCACTTTGTACAAAAGAGCTTATTATTCTGAAGCAAAAGGATGGCAGAGTGAGCATTCCGAGGCCAATTATGTTAGTATTTTGACATAGTGTCTTTTGTCGTTTATTATGGAAACTTGTGAATCTTTACTTAAGTTGTGTCTTTTGCCATATTTCAGAACAAGATGCAGGAACTACAAGCCGAGGGGAAGATGACAGTAGATGAAATATGTAACACTGTTCTTGGTGAAAAACCGGGCTACATAAGTGGTCTTGGTCATGGTCCAAAACCGATTGCTTCTTCAAATTCAACAAACAGGAGGCTGGAAGCAGCTTTGAAGCAAGTTGAAACCGAGAAAAATGGCTGGAAATCTGAATGTGTAAGTCTGAGGACAGAAGTTGGTTTGCTGAGAGAAGAAGTATCTGGAATGGGAATCTTAAAGGCAGAGCTGGCTGACGTAAAAGAGTTACTCGGAGTGATTCTTCGCGGACAGAAAGTTTGATTTGGAGTGTTCTTAATGAGGGGGTGTTTGAGTGTTCTTAGCAGTATGGAATTTCCTGACAATGTCTACTTCAGGGGACTTCCCATTTTTTTTCCTGGGCACTTTTTGATGTTACTTTGCTGATGGATGACCATCTCTTTCAGTTTCACACATTTGTAATCCTTATCTCACATTTGTAAGTAAATAGATGCTAGATATAGCAATTTCTCTATCTGTCAAAGATTCCAATAATAGAAGAAACAAAGCATTCTGCAGACTGATAAGTAACAATGTTAATTCACTCATTGTGTTTTTGGGAGTAAAGTACATGGGAAAGATCAAAGGAACAAGGAAACTCAAAAACAATGGAGTTGCAGATTATGTTGCATAGATTGGGGGTTGTGCCCTACACTTCCAGACCTCAACTTCCATCTCCAATCCTGGATTTCCTCAGATCTGCATGCAATGAAGTCAAATTTTAGTGAGAAGACACCAAACTGGGGTCATGGTAAATCCCCAGAACTAGAACATGCAGAAACTAACCCACACCCAAACAAGTCACATACCTGATCATATGTCAGAATCTTCTTCTGGCACAACATCCATAAGATGAGCTGGTTCCGAATCACTAAGATATTCATCCAATGTATCATCTTTGACACGATCATCTTCATCATCCAAAGTTGTTTCATCCATATTCACTTCTTTAGTGACTTCTGCCATCTCAACATCCAAATCAGGCCTACTCAAGTTTGTGTTGTGGTCTTCTACTACATGGCTTACATCAATGTTTGATTCTTCCTCTTGAAATGCAAAGTCAACAATGTCTTCAATTTCCTCAGAATCTATCTCTGTAGAGCTTACTCGAGGCAAATCAAAGATATGTCGATGCTGAAATTTTCTCACGACCTTCCAGTTGTGCCCTAATTTAGTGTCATCGACATAGAAGACTTGCTTTGCTTGTTCAACCAAGATAAATGAGTCACTTTCATACCATCTACTACTAACATTAATGCGGGTTAGATGTCCATCTGTTTGTATACCCCTTTTATCACCCACTTTAAACCACTCACACTTGAATACCATAACCCTGTGGTCCTTCACATATTCAAGTAGAACAATTTCCTCTTCTTCATTTTTGTTGATGACATACTGGAGAAACCCATGACCAATTCGACGGAGGGGCTGAAGCTTGGTAAGTAAACTGGCTGAGTGACAGGCAGAGACCGCCTTTCACTTTCAGCTCTGGGGGGAACCCTAATTCCTTGCCGCACGGAGGGGGAGGAGGGAAAAGGCGAGAGAGATCGAGAGGTAGAAGAAGGAATTTGGACCGCCTTTCACTTTCAGCAGCCTTTGTTTTTCATCCTCTTTTAATTTTTGCCTCCTTTGTTTTTGCCTCCTTTGTTTGGGACACGTATTCTTCCATAAAGCTACACCTGCGAAAACCAATTCATTTTTTTTAGATATTGATATATATATATATATATATATATATATATAAAAGTAATTGGGGTGCAGCTGGTCAGCGAAACCAATTCAGTTTTGTCTCTTTTTTTTTTTCAATTCGGATTCCCACACACCCATCAAATTCCTTCTTCGTGCTACCAATTCCCTTCTACTGCGAGAGCCAAATCTCCGATTCCATCTCCACTTTCCTCTTCTTCATTCCCTCGATTTCTGCTCTGAATTCGTCGAGATCAGATAAAATCGAGCTACATTCTCCATTTGCTTTGTTCAGCCTCACTCAGCTACCAATCGCGATCCGGCTGCTCCAGTCTCCAGAGGAAGCGGTTCTGAAGCAATAAAAGAGAAGGTTTTATTGCTCGCCGTCGATTCTCAGAAGGTAACTTCAGATCGGATTCGATTTCTTTGGTGTTTGTATTAGTATAGCTAGGGTTTGCACGAGAATTCCTTTTGATGTTCCTGATTGTTCAATTTGTCCAGCCTTGGATTTACTCTACTCAAACTTTCCTTTCGTTTTTTTCCTGCTGGTGTTAGTGTCAGGTAATTTCCCATGTCGATCACTTTGATTGCTAAGGATCCCTGCTTTCATTATCAAGTTCAGAAGTTCAGAAGGCTGCAATGATTCAGGTTAACTTTGAAGTCTTTTTTGTCCCTTTCATTATTCAGTAGAATTGAGGCATCAAGCCTGTATGGGTTGAATTTACAGACGAGCTTTCTAGTAGTGTATACTGATGATCTCAGTTAAGTGAGTGAAATAGCCAAATTACTAGCACAGTGAATGGAATCGTCTGGTTAATTCGTTTGTTTTAGTTGTTTGAGTAGGACGGGACTCTGAGAAAATGGATACAAGGGACTGATTAAAGTGGCAAATCGTCTAATGTTGACTAGCAGAGCAACTCCTACAGAGGGCTTGGTGAATGTATGTGGAGATCTTACGTGGCATCCAATTCTACTTACAGGTGCAACCTTCCTTTTGTTGACTTGTAAATCTAAACACCTAGTTCCCGCCATGTCCTGGATATTGGTATAGTTGGTAAGTAATATATCCCTTATATGATCAATCATATGTCCGGAATAGTCGACATCAGAAGCAAGAAGATGCAGCTGCTTGTGTATGATCAGAGGAAGCTACATCGTGAAGCTTCATTTTGCTGAGATCATGTACTCCAATGATCAGAGGAAGCTACATCGTGAAGCTTCATTTTGCTTGCTTTGCTGCTGTGCATGATCTGCAATTTTCATACAAGAGACATCTGGTCTTTTTGACAAGTTTGAGGTACGTGTGACTCCTGGTAAACTCCTAAGCTCTTTATTTAGGGTATAGGCTTGGGAGTTGAGAGTAGTCTGAATTCTTTCTCTCTCGTCGCAGGGAAAGTATGAAGAGTCAATAAGGTACTATGTCCGTGCACTGGCAATGAATCCAAAGGCAGATAATGCCTGGCAATACTTGAGGATTTCACTGAGGTATGCCTCTTATACTCCAAGACATGTATGTACCCATCCCGGCCATATACCTCTTGCTGCTTGAGGTTCTTTTAACATCACCTTCTCCTCTCCTACTGTTTTGCAGCTGTGCATCTAGGAACGACCTGATGGACGCTTGTGATTCAAGGAACCTGGAAGTTCTCCATAAAGAATTCCCCCTGTAGGAAAAAGGAAAACGATTCAGTACAGAAATGGAAGAAGCATCAGCCTGGAAAGAGAGAAAGAAAGAAGGTTAAACTCCGCTTCTGCTATCGATACAAGCAGCTGGGGTTTTTTCCGTGTTGGTTGCTGCACTCAGATGATGATGATGGGATTCAGTACAAGTTTGAGGTACCTTTTTGACAAGTTTGCTGGAATGCTGAATTTATGTTAACAGACGGACAAAGTTGAATTCTACCTCTGTATATTCGAGTCCAATCAAACTTCAGGTAGCTGCCTCTGTATATTTCTCTGTGTCCCTTTATGTGTGATATAAAGTCTAATCTTCACTCCTATAGTCTGTAGATGCTTGTGGACAGAAATGGAGTCACCATTTGGTTGGATAGAACTTCAGGCATGGCTGCATAGTTTGGTCTCTTTAATTACTACTCCTTCATCTTCTCTTCTTCACTAATTATTTGTTTCCATTTGCTCTGTATGTTTTTTTTACAGGAAGTGGGTTCAAGTTAGTGAAATCGTATCTATCTATGTGAGATGAAGTGGCACTTCCATCAAGCTCCAATCTGGCTACACCGCTGGCGTTAACACAACTTTCTATGTGAGATCAATACTAATAATTCATTTTCACAAGCTTTCCTTTCACTTTGTGTTTTTTTGGGTCCTGAAATGATCACTTGGATTTTAGCTTACCATTACTTAGCTAGGACAGGGGCTGTCTTTCACTAATTAGGAACCATTAGTTAACGCTCAAGGAGTACGAAGGCAAGCAACAAGCTAGTCGACAACCGTGATTTCCTTCAACACATAAATTGTAATTTTGTTTACTAAACAATAGATTGTGTAATTGTGATTTTGGTCATTAAACAATAAATTGTATAATTATAATTTTGGTTGGTAAACAATTTTGTTATATGAAATAATTTTTTTATTATAATTCTATTAATTTTTTATATTTTCATTTTAGTGACTCAAATCTCACCGAAAAAATTGGTCATATAAAATGAATTTTTTGGTTGGCGTATATGTTTTCCGCAACCAATTCTTATGATTGCATTTAAACTTTTATAACCATAAGAATTAGTTGTAAAGGATATGGTTGGTCGCCATTCATATATTTTACGACCAATTATTATGGTTGTGTTAAATTTTTATAACTAATAAATTTAGTTGCCTAAGATAATATGATTGGTCGGTATATGGATTTTTGATGACCAAATTTTATGGTTGCATAACAATTTCATAACTAAAATGATTAGTTGCCAAAAATGATATGATTAGTCAACATATGTATCTTTGACGACCAATTTTTAAGGTTGCGTTAAACTTTCATAACCAATTCTATTGGTCACCAAAATGTTTTAGTTGGTTGAGATATATGTTTTTCACGACCAATTGTTATGGTTGTGTTAAAATTTTATAACAAATATAATTAGTCGTCTAAAATGATATAATTGGTCGGCATATGTGCTTTTCACGACCAAATTTCATGGTTGCTTTAAATTTTCGTAACCTAAACAATTGGTCGTTGTAATGATATAATTGGTTGACATATGTTAATTTCCCGACCAAATTGAATGGTCACCTATAAAACGTACGTAAATTATATTTGCGACCAAAAAAATTGGTTACTAATAGTCACATAAAATTGGTTGTCATTTTTATTTTTCGCGACCAATCAATTATATTTCCCAACCATTAGGTTGGACTATAACAACCAAATTAAAATGGTCGCGAAAAAGTAAGGTTTTTTTACCATTGGCGATTTTGGTTGCGAAAGCTTTCTTTTTTGCTACCAATCCACATTTTGGTTGCGCTAGGAATTAGTAACGCAGCTATAGCGACCAATGCTGCTACCAAAATATTTTGGTCGCAAAAAGGTATTTATAACCAAATTTTTACCTTTAGTAACCAATTTGTTTGGTTGCAAAAAGCCATTTTTCTTGTAGTGTGTGTTGCAAAATGAAACAAAGAAAAAAAAAAGAGAAATTCTTGTGATTGCATATATTGTCCAAATACAACACCTTAAATACCAACCTCCAACCGACACCTAAAATATCCAACTAATCCAAATTCAACTGGAGTGATGGATTCATGGATTGTTGAAAAATTAATGTTTAATATGTTTATATCATATTTTATAATTTGATATCTAAATTTTATTTTTAAAGTGCCATTTTAGTACCTAAATTATCATATTTGTCAAATATTTAGTGTCACTTGGATCCATGAATCTGATACACCAATTCATTTAATCAAACCCATTTGGCACCTCTAATATATATATGGTGCCTTCTATCTTATCTTGAGTAAAATCTAGAATACGACAGACGATTAGTAAGAAGCAATATCTAGATCTCGAATTAACCGGATTTCGGGACATTATACTATATCTAACCCATTCATGAGTGAACTTTAAGTCTTAATTATCCAAATATAGACTCTAAATACTAAAATTTTGCATGTAATTTATTAAATTTATTTCGACGAATCATGACCATCGATTATTGTTTCTAATTAAATTGATCTTAGTATACGAGATTTCTAAAATTAAGATGTAGATTTTAGTCTTTAATGGTCAGGGTATAGTATTACGTTCCAAAATTTGGTCGGTTCAATATATAGATATTATTTATTACCCCAAATATGTTGCACCTTTGATTTTAATCAAAATACAATTGAACCAACCCATATATATACCGCAATCAGCAAGTGAGAGCATATTTACACTGCTATTTGATTTGATGATGATCTATAAAGGAAAGGAAGAGTTCCTCTCGTTCTTATTTTTCTATTTCCCCAATGAAATGGACAGTCCAAAATAAAAGCAACTTATTGTCAAGGAAAGGCGAAGAAATGAAACTCGTACTTGAGAGCATATGCCTAATGCCTTGACGAATATTACGTGAATAAATTGCTTAAAGGAAGACTCCCACGAATATTACGTTAAAGAGTCCGGTATTTATTCCATTGTTAAAAGAGTAGCGACGGTGCAACTTATGATTTACACTTAGTCATCTCCCCTGTAATAATAAAACAGTAATGATCGTGAAACTTTGGGGTCGTTTGGAAGTTGCAATTGTTAAATAGATATATTGTTGAGAATGCATGTATAATATTATACATGTATTGTCGAATTTGATGCATTGTAGAATACAACGTTTGGTATGTGTGATTGTGTATGTCGCATCAGCTAAAAGCTGAGACAAAACAATCTCAACTCAACTATCTCAACAATCATAACTAAAAGTTGAGATACAACAATCACTCAAAATGAGTGATAGTTTCTGTCACATCATAGAAACAATCCATGTATTGTTTCTGCTTAATAAACAAAAAAATAATGCATTGTAAACAATACATGCATAATGAAAATCTCAACAAAATTACCGCAACTTCCAAACGACCCCTATATTTACCCTTGTTATCAATTTTCCTTCCACTGGGACTTGTTTGTGAAGACTTCATAGTATAGGGATCTAAAAAGGTCTTAACCCTAATTTAATTCGGTTGGAAAAGCAATAATTAGCTTCCCAAAACCCCACATTTGCCCGACTCTGAAACTGTGTCGATTGACAACGACACTGCAGCGGCCTTTCTCCCTCACTCATTTCGCCGGACGTCGGTTCCGTCACTCATCACTCCGGCAGTCCAGGTTAGTATGGTTAACCTATGCCATTTGATTGGAATCGGTTTATTCAATGTGGTCAATTTTCGCCCGCAAAACGACCCATGACCCAGTGACAGTGCCTAACCATTGGCCCAACCGTGTCCGATTTCTCACGCGGTTCGGTTCTTTTGCAACCTTCATGCCTTCCCCTTTTTTTTTTTAAAGGAAAAGAAAGAAGAGCCGTCAGGTCGCCGGGACTATATAGAGTCGCCGTTTAGCTCCATAGTTCACGGCGGGAGGCAAGATTTCCCTTTGCTCCACACACACACAAAACCCTTCATTCTTTAATTGATTACGACTAGTTTCCGCATTTTCTAATCGCAAAATCTCGGAATCGTCATTTCCCTCTTCGTTCACCCTTCCCAATCTCTCTTATTGCTAAACGGGTAAAAAGGCAGGGGAAAAAAGAAAGCCTCCCCCTCATTGCCCCTTTTCCTCTTTACAGCCCTTTCAAAATCTGGTAAGCTAGCCCCATTTTCTCTTTGCTTTCTTGGATCGAAGGGTTTGCGTGTGTTGTGTGTTGGCTCTGTGGGGAATGTCAAAGTTTGGAACTTTATGGTCTGATGCTGGTTTCCTGGACTTGTCACAGATTTTAACCTGAGAGGGTTTCTGGGTCTGGTTCTAAGAGATTGTTTGCGGGTATTCGATTGTTTGGAGGTACTAAGTAGAGAGGAATGGGGTACATAGGTTCCCATGGAGTTGCAGCTCTTCATAGATACAAGTACAGTGGAGTTGATCACTCCTATCTTGCCAAATATGTCCTGCAGCCCTTCTGGTCACGATGTGTTAACTTCTTTCCTCTCTGGATGCCGTAAGTTGGTTCCCTTTTCATATTTCTGCTTTCAATGTGCTAGGTAGTATGAAGGGTGTTGGCAAATGTTCAGCTGTTGTCATATTGGTAGTGGCTACCTTAGTTTCATGCTTATGCTTTCACTCTGATTTCGCTTTATGAAGATATGATTGCTCCTCAGTCACCTCTAACTCTGTTTCTTCTTTTCCTCCCTTCTTCTGGACTTCTATTTGGTTCCGAATCTTTACTAGACCAAACATGGTAAGATCATCCTTACTCCAAACCAAGGTTATAATTTGAGGTTTCAATGGTGCTGACTATGGTCTACCCCGACATCTAAGTGTCTGCCCTCTTCCTTTTCAGATAACACTGACAGGATTCTTGTTCTTGGTTACTTCGGCATTGCTTGGTTATGTGAGTGGGGATTGTTCTGGTAGCATTTTATTAAGAAAGAAGCTGTAGTCTGTGTACTTCTCCACCAGTTCCTAATATAATGTTTGTGCTTCAGATATATTCACCCCATTTGGATACAGCTCCACCAAGATGGGTTCATTTCGCACATGGATTACTGCTGTTTTTGTATCAGGTTTGACTTCTGTAATTGCATTGCGTTCCCATGATCTTTTTGCTGATCCAGTATGTTGGTTTAATTACTGAATTGTTCTCCCAACTCTTCACGAACTTAATAGACATTTGATGCGGTTGATGGAAAGCAAGCAAGAAGAACAAATTCTTCCAGTCCATTGGGCGAACTGTTTGACCATGGTGATTTTCTGTTCTTAAGTGATTTTCACATTCTTCTCTTTGTTTTATTTTATTTCCTGACTTCTCTTTTGTGTTTTTCGCAATGAATTGCAGGATGTGATGCCCTTGCTTGTGCAGTGAGTGTTGCCCAATATGGATTCTATAATTTCGTAGTTTGAAACTTCTTTTGACTTTTTTTTCCCCTGACGTTGTACAGTTTGAAGCCATGGCTTTTGGTAGCACTGCAATGTGTGGAAGATACACGTTTTGGTTCTGGGTCATCTCAGCTATTCCATTTTATTGTGCAACATGGGAACAGTAAGCAGGCTAAACATATACTTTGACCAATTCCCTGATGATTGGATCTCCTGATGCTGATTTTCATGAAGCTTATTTTTGTATTCTTCGATCCAGCTTTTTCACCAATACCCTCATTCTTCCGGCGGTTAATGGGCCTACGGAGGGTCTGATGCTAATATATGTCGCTCATTTTTATACTGCTATAGTTGGTACGTTTTTTTCCTACTTAAGCTGCCTGTGTTGTTCCTATCTATTTATTTCTTTTATGTCTCTTTAGTCTTTATAATATAACTTGATTGCTTTTGATTGAAGGTGCTGAGTGGTGGAGTCAAGATTTTGGAAAGTCTTTGCCCATTGTAAGTTGGGTGCCATTTGTTAGTGGTAAGTACGCAAATTTAACTCATGGACCAATATCTTATTTGCTATAGTTTATGGGCTCTAGGAGAAAGATTTGTCTCCTTGCTCTTCATAAAAAATGCTTTGCCTCCTTGCTTTGTAGGCTGATCAATTTTACTTAGCCGGTTTCATTTTGGCTCTATCACCAAGTTCTCATTCCCCTGAGTTTCTTGAATGCAGAAATTCCAACTTTCAAGGCAGTGCTCTACTTAATGGTAGCTTTTGCTGTGATTCCAACACTTTCCTTCAAGTAAGCATTCTCTTGTTGCCATGAATGGAATTGTTAATTCAAAATGGGGTTGTGATTTTATTCTCTTGTTGCCATGAATAGGTTAACTGTGCTCTGACTTTGGGTTCTTGTTGTTTACTGTTTACTTCAACTTGATATTATCATATTATTGTGCTTTCCGTTGTCATGTTTTATCTTGTAATTTGTGCTTTGGCAGTGTGTTAAATGTACACAAAGTTGTTCAGGCTAGAAAGAGCAGCATGCCACTGGCATTAGCAATGGTAACTCTATAACATCTTGGTGACTTTCCTTTTCCAGCAGTTATAGTTAATGGGCGATGGATGGATGCCTTAAATATTTTCTCATTGATGCCAGCTTTACCCCTTCTTCGCGTTGATGGGAGGAGTTCTAATTTGGTATGCAAAATTTGTGCTGCTTCATTGTATATAGTTGGTTCTTTAATTTTTGAAAAGAATCTTATATTTCATGCCTTGATGCAGGGATTATTTGTCTCCATCCGATATAATGGGAAATTATCCTCACCTAGTTGTTCTGGGATCTGGGCTAGCATTTGGATTTCTTGTGGTAAGATGTCCACTTTGTATGTAAGACATTTTACAGCTGATGCTGAATTCTATGAGACCTGCAATTGATGTGAGCGACTGGAAACAGCACTGAGCACGTCCAGCCATAAATAAAGTTTTTTTTTATACATATATGTATATGTCTAATGTATTATTTTAATATTTATTCAGTGTTCTCATGTTGGTTCTTTTATGAAACCATTGGATGAGAATATTCAGCTTTTCACCGGTGCTGAGTAAAGGCTTGTTTTGACAGGGGAGAATGATTCTTGCTCACTTGTGTGATGAACCAAAGGGGCTGAAAACCAACATGTGCATGGTATGTACTATGTATAATTATTTCAGTAACCTAGCAGTTGGTTCTTATGACATCATTGTTTAAATTATTTGCTAACTTTTTGCAGTCCCTGCTGTATCTACCCTTAGCCGTTGCCAATGCCCTCTCAGCAAAACTGAACGATGGGTAATGCCCAAATTTCATATTACTTCCCATGACTCTTAGAGGTCCACCTAGTGACACTTGTGTTGACTATCCATTGCAGAGTTCCTTTGGTGGATGAGTTGTGGGTTCTTCTCGGTTACTGTTCATTCACAGGTTTGTTCGTAGTTATCTGCAGAATACCTTGTAAACCTTGTTGGCAAACACACTGAAACAGTTCTACATGATTGCTCTTTCTTTTTTAGTGTTTTCCCTCTATTCATTCTGAACAATTGTTTGCTGTTTCATTATGCAGCTGGTCTCTATTTGCACTTTGCTACTTCAGTGATTCATGAAATTACCACTGCCTTGGGGATCAACTGCTTCAGGTGAGAGTCTTTTATATCTATGATTGTGCATGTTCAGCTTCGTCTGAATTGATTATATATCTTTGTTAACTTGACTCTGATTCTCATTGACAGGATAACGAGAAAGGAAGCTTGAAAGATCCAGTTTCGGACTTGGTATGACCCTCTAACCCCCAACATTTCGGGAGCACGCTCAATGTGTTTCAGGAGTGGTTCAAAATAGATCGAGGAACTCGGGCAACAGAATCATAGCTTTTGATGATGCTGATGTATCAACTTGGGGGAGTCTGTGGAGGAAGGAAGCGAGATAGCAACCATGGGAAATGGGTTTCAGCTTTCAGGATTTATCTGTTTGATTTTATGACACATGTTTCTGTAAGGGGTTTAAAATGCATAACCGTTTTCCACAGTTTAGGGGATGGGATGTGGACATGTGGTCCGTTGAATCTTTGTAGTTGGGTGGTTTTAGGTTACTTTGTGAGGCATATGGAACTGAGATCATCTCAAACAGTGCTTAGTTTATGATATTGAGAAATAGTTATGGTCACCTTTGGCAAGCATGACCACATCCTGTACGATCTATGATAAAAATTTTGCGAGGCTTCAATTTCAATGGCAGTATAACTTCTCTTTTTTCGGGCTGTTCATCAGCTCTACTGCTTCCATTTTCTGTTACTCCGTCAACGTGCTTTCAGTTTTAGGCTTGAGGATGATCTAGTCATTGCGATCAGTGGTAGAGATAAGAGTAAAACAAACCCAGCTCCTTGTAAGAGAATACAACGGCTGATGTGAAAAGTGAGGAATTTACATGGGTTATGAAAATGTTATATCAGAAGATTGAACTTCTTTATAAAGGGAGGTCAATTAATTCATTCCCATGAGTTTCTTCTACAAGATTGAACCGCCTACCTGTGATGTGTCTCTCCAAAGTAGCTAAAAGGAGAACTATCTACCTGTAGTGCGAGATAATTGCAGTTGCATCATATTCTCGCAGTCAACATGCAATTGATTGTGGTAATACATGATGCTGATAACAACTGCAGAGCCACTGACTCATAGGGCCCTGTCAAGCCATGCTGGCAATCTCAACAAACTTCTCATTCCAAGGCGAGTTAGAAACACGGAATACAAGAGGTGCAGTAGGAACACAAAGAATCCACTGTTTATCAACACCTGGAGGGGAATCATTCATCAGAAAGGAGTAAGCACTTTGTAAAATATGATTAGCAAGTCTCAGATACAAAAAGAGATGGGGTAAAAGCTATTAACTTACAAGAATTCCGAAAAGTGTGTATATGAAATTCATCGATGGAATGGTATTAATGCCAGTGGCAGCAAACACATAACTCAGAGAGGCGTGGATGTTTACTGTAATCTTACAAACAAGTAAAATCGAAAGAAATTCTGGTTAGTCAAACAAAGCAGAAGTGAGCCCTTAGAACTGTTACAGAGGTGGAAGAAGGGAAGACTTATACCAGAGCAAGTATGTTTTCTCGTATTAAGAATGAGGACGTGAAAACATATCCCATGGCGCCAGTTGCTCGAGCCTGCAATTGTTAGGACATCCTCTGTTAAGAGAAACATCAGGAAAATCCCACAGAAAGAAAATTGGGCACAGTGCTAAAGAGGCTTAAAGGAAGCAAACCCTACTATCGTGCACACAAATATCGAAACTGTCCAGTTTGCTTGTAAGCTGAAAGATGGCAACAACCAAATCCAGAGTTATTGGAAGAATTTGATATCAATAAACTTACACGAAAGAGACATGCTCACAATTTGTTTGGATAATGAGAAGATTTGCTCCCACACATAAATGAATAGTAGAACTCAGGAACAAGCGAAGTCTATAGGAAATCTTTTCTTCTTGTTGGTTAAGGATACGAAGGCCGTAAAACTACTTCTCAAAATCGAAAATCACATACCTCCACAAGGAGCCCATTGTCAAACCAAGTATGCCATGAGTCAGCTGTCGAAAAGGCCAAACATGTAAGAAAATCAACAGCTGCTTCTGCTCAGAGTGGAAAAGACTAGTTCCAGTAATCCTAGGTGTGAACAATTATGCAAAAATCTAATTTTATCATTCTTCTTTCAACAGGCCAAATACACCTAGACCACTCTCGTTCAGTGATTCAATGGCCCCATGAGAAACAGCAGCCACTGAACTATTGATCGTCCATGACATGTAACAATTCAATATCATCAGAATCAAGAGCAATCTTCCATTGCTTAGCCCCCTTATATCCAATAACAGCTCAAACTGAAAGCAGTTGCTATTTGGCTAAATAACCTGCTTGACATGCACATTCCAAAAACAAGGCATATGTATGCTTTAGGGGCGCTGAAGATGCTAACTCACCAGATAGGTTAATGCCTTAACAGGACCAGACAACACAAACAAGAGCATAGCAGTTGCTACCTGCCAATACAAAACTGATCCAACTCAATTCACATTTCTTCTACAAATTTGTTACATAAATTTCTCAGAATAAAGAAAGCACCAACCATAGTTTTTCTCCCTGCTGCCACACCCCATCTAAGTGAAGATATTACAATTGGCAACGAAAAGAAGCATCCGAAGTAATTCTGCAGAAATTCAGAATCATAATCATCAGAAAACCTTGTGAAGCTCATCCTAAGAGATTTTCTTCACTGCCAAACTTGCAGGAAAGACAAGTACCAAGTATGAAAGACTAATCAGGAGAGAACAAGGAAGCACAAAATTCGTAACTAACGATAACCCAGTTGGTAATCGTCGAAGGAAAAGAAGAACCAGTTGGTAATCGAGTTAGAGGAATCAAGAAGGAACCTCAATCGAAAGTGAATTGCTCAAAAAGTAGACGAGACCAGTGACAGCAGCAAACATAGAGCATTCAACCAGTCTCAGCGTATTGCGGTAGACATCACCATCAGGCGCCAAGTAATCCGTCTCCGTCCCATCATCGCATAACCCTTCTTCTGATTCTCGTTCTTCTTGGCGTTCTTCCTCTTTCCCATCCACAACCGAAGCATTGATTCTCGGTATACTCGAAAACTTGAAGGTGGGTTTACGCAGAGAGAGTGGCAAAATGGTCGACGAACTGATAAGGCTCAATCTTTGTGTCGAGGGTAATTGGACTGTTGCAGAGAGGTGACGAAGATGTGGAAGTTGGTCGACATGTAAAATTCGAGGCTGGTAGCTACGGTTGTGGATCCTCAGAAAATTCATGTCTTCCACTGAAGGAAGCTAGAAAACCTTCTTCGTTGCTGATATAATCATTTGAGAGCGGGAGAGATGACTCTGTGGATAGTGGATTGGCCATGGGCGCGCGACTAGCTCCTGGGCTTTTGGCCCATTTTCCCTGTCGCGTCTGTTTGGGTCAGCCAACCACAGTTTCTTAGACAGTTTTTTCCATCTCTGCCCAAACCAAAACCTCGGGCTCAATGTTAGCTCGTTGGCTCCCGCTGACAAAACATGGAGCCGCCGGCGAAGGACTAGGCGATCATCGGCAGCGCACTCGCCACACTTGGAATGGCTCCCAGTTTATGCAGATTGGTTCTTTCGCTCCCCTTTCCCCGAAAGACTCGAGCTTTACCTCGTAACCTTCACTCGTGCACCTGGGTCTTGAAACCAGACACTGCAGGGTCGAGTGCCCACCAACTGTTTGTTCAATTGCCTATACCAGATACCAGAACCGCGACAAAGTTAATTGGGCAGTTAGCCAGACAGAAGCAACACAGAGAGGCTTTACGATTGTTTTCTGAAATGCTCTATCGGAACATTAGACCCAGTGAGTTCACTTTTGGGACTGTCATTCCATTGTCCACAGCAATCAAGGACATCGAATTGGGGAGGCAGTTCCATTGTTGTGCTTTGAGAATGGGACTTCACTCTGTAGTCTTTGTGGGAACTGCACTGCTAGATTTTTACGCAAAGTTAGTTTCGTTACACGAAGCTCGAATGGCATTTGAGGATATAGACCACCCCAATGTTGTCTCATACACAACTCTGGTACATGGGTACCTGAAGAAAGGCTCTTGCAAGGAAGCTATCAGGCTCTTTAACCGGATTCCAGAGAGGAATGTGGTGTCCTGGAACGCGATGATCGGTGGGCTTAGCCAAATGGGTCACAATGAAGAAGCTATAAATATCTTTGTTCACATGCTGAGACAATGCGTAACACCTGTTGAATCCACATTTCCTCGTGCTATCATTGCTGCTTCAAATGTAGCAGCAATTGGAATGGGCAAAAGCTTTCACGCTTGTGCTGTCAAAACGAATTGCCATCTCGATGTGTTTGTTGCAAATTCCTTGATCAGCTTCTACTCGAAATGTGGGGATATGGAGGATAGTCTCCTGGTCTTTGACAAGCTTCCTGACAGAAATGTGGTCTCTTGGAATGCTGTGATTTGTGGGCTTGCACAGAATGGAAGAGCAAAGGATGCTTTGATGTTCTTTGATAGGATGCTGGCATCAGGTTTTAACCCGAACGATGTCACCCTTTTGGGTGTTCTATGGGCTTGCAACCATGCTGGTCTTGTCGATGCAGGCTACTCACATTTCAACCAAGCAAGGATCAGGAACCCCAGCGCATTGAGACCTGAACATTATGCGTGTATGGTCGATCTACTCTCTCGCTGTGGTCGATTCCAGGAAGCTGCAGCATTCATCATGAGCTTGCCATTCGATCCTGGTATCGGGTTCTGGAAGGCATTGCTCGGAGGGTGTCGAATACACTCGAATGAAGAATTGGGCGCACTGGCAGCCCGAAAGATCTTAGCTTTGGATCCTGGGTGTGACGTTTCGTCTTATGTAATGCTGTCGAATGCTTATTCCTCGGCGGGCAAATGGGGTGAGGCATCATATGTAAGGAGAGAAATGAAGGAGAAAGGGCTAATGAGGGTTTGTGGATGCAGTTGGATTGAAATCAAAGGTGAAGTTCGTGTTTTCACTAATAGAGATGAGAACTGTAAGCATAAGGATGATATTTATTGGATGCTGAATTTTTTGGTTGAGCAATCGGTAATGGCTACCGGCCATCTTTGAACAGGATTTCTGTGTTTATGTGTACAAGCTAACATACTTTTCTGTATTCATCAAGGTAGGGTAATTTATTAATCTTAATCAGCTTCTGGGATTTTGGCCCATTTTCCTCTTTCTTTGGCCTGCTTGATGAGGCCAACCACAAATTTTAGATAGTTCGATCTCTGCTGCTCGTGACAACAACAACAAAACCTGCCCAAACCAAATATGGATGAACCTAAAATATGGACCAATGTGGGACAACTAAGAAAAGTTGGGCTTGTGACATCTACAAAAACAAGAAAGGATGCTCATAGGAGGACCAGCTATGGCCTTCACATTCCAACTGTGAAAAATATGTTTACAGGTTGGATGATATCAAATTCGCAATCGTGGTTACCCGATAGTGCTCAACCCAGTCAACATGGAAAATTCTCATGTTGATTGGGTATGGGACTGGTGTTGGTAAAATCGCAAAAAAATTGATAGGGATGAAGACAACTCTTGCCCCATATATGTACTCATATCAGCCTCACAAAGAGTACTTCTTCATATATTAAAAACATAGTGATCATATTGTAACAACTCAACTTACAGGAAGGGTGATTCGGAAAAAAATTAGAGAGTTGAAATGCAATTGAGTGGTCATGGTCACCCAAACCAAATACTAATTCTTTGTCTCAATTCGCCATTCACTCTTTAACTTATTTCCCCTCTGTTAACAAGATTATATTAGTTATTTATTGATTAATAAATATGTGGGAGTCAATTGTGTTGTACTTATCGATTAATGGATATTTAAGGATTGAATGCTTTGAATTCGTATTGAGAATGATTGTACCTTTGCCGATTTTGTGATTTATTATGTATGTTTAGTGTTATAAATGAAAATCTACATGCTGAGTTTTACATATAGTAATACTGGATATCCGGATCGGGTATTACCCACGAGTACCCAAAAACTGCGACAATGGGGTTGGAGTAGCAAAACCTCCTCAGATGGTTATGAGATGAGTATGAATTTGAATATTTAAAAATAATGATGTGTATGATTTATGGAAATCCTCCCAAACCTGTCTCATTACCAACCCTACTGACATGGCACACAGTCGTCAGATCATACGTTGAGCGTTTCAAGTAACCAGTGATTGTCCACCCTAGGACTATATGGTATTAGCTAAATTTTTAGAGGGGAGAGGTTTGTATTTTAAAAGTCTCTAAGTCAAGCATCTCATTAGGTGCAATGAGATATTTGGCCAAAATACCATATTATCCAAATGACCTAACCAAACCACTTGTCATTGAAGAGTTTTAAAATTTTAACTATTTTCTCGTTCAAATAAACATAAGTCGACATAAACATTAAAGCAAACACATATCTAAGTCGGGTTGCCATAGTAACAAGTAAAAGTGAATATCGATATTAAAGCCTTCAACAAACTTAATACAAAATCTCAGATGAGGTAAAAATGTCCTGCAACTACCCTTCTCTTTTACCAAAAAGAACAATAAACTAAAGGCTAACATTCAATCACCAAAAAGACTTTCAATGTCTCCTCCCTTCTCACTCCACCGCCCAAACCACCTGAAAAGAAACCAGTAGGAAATCAGAAAAGGAGAGGAAGGTCCAGCAACAGAGATAGTAAATGCTCTGAGAAATGGAAGGGCGGAGAAGCAAGATTTATTGACCCTCTACCAGATAGCTCACAGAGAATCAGAGGGGCACAAGGAATGTACTGCCAACGAGCACCTGAGATAGAGACAGGGGTGAACGGCGGCTCAATCATGAGCTCCCAGGATAATAAATGCGCAAGGAGAGATGCAGGAAGAATTAAGAGCACTAGACCGGGCTACCCACCAGGATCTACCAGTAAAACTCAGACAATAGGAGGGAAATTCAGAAGGGGGAGTAGAGCGGCCAATAAATGCAGCAATAAATGGGATCTGCTGAGGTGCACGGCAAGGAACACAATCGGGGGGGGGGGGGGGGGGGGGTAAAGGTCAGTGGGCATTTACTACATCAATCAGGCAGCAGCCCAGCCAACCATACCAATCGACACCTGAAGATCCCAATTGCCTATATAAAGGCAACAATACTATTCAGCTCATCACCCTACAACTCAAGCACTCAAGGTTTCAATATCGGAAAGAAGCAAGATCCCCAACCCACAACCCTAACCACTACCCCGCTCACTGAGCCTGACCCCGCACAACTACTGATGGAGCCTCAACACAGAAATCTGAGAGGGGAGAGGAGCCACCTGGTCCTCAATGTGAGGCCTACTATCGTCGGAGCACGGGGAAGCGGGATGGCAATGCTCCTCGGTAGATGGATAACAGACGCAAGCATCAACCTGCCGAAAGCAAAGAATGCGGCAATCAACAAATGGAGGGCATATGGAGCAGTCCAAGCAACAAAGGAGGCAGAGAATCTCTTTGTCTATTCCTTCCAATCAACCAAACAAAGGGACGCGGTTTGGGAGGCCAGGCCATGGAACCTAAGCAACACGTTGGTTGCCCTGAAGAAATGGGATGGGGAACAGAAGGCGGAACCATCAACCATACCAACCGTCACCCTCTGGGTCCAGATGCATGACTTACCACAATCACTGAAGGATGAGGAAGCGGTACAAGCTGTGGCGTCATACATCTTCCCTCTGTTTCACTGTGTCGACAGGTCGAACTTCGACTTCCGGGGATGGCTGAAGTTCATCAGAGTCAAGGTGGAGGTGAATATTGAAGACCCCATACCAATTGGGTTTGAGTACCCGGTTGGAGACCGATCCATCTGGGTCAGCTTCAAATATGAGAGAATTATGGATCTTTGCTACTTCTGTGGGAGACTGGGACATCTGATACACAATTGTTTGGAAAGGGAAGAGCACCGGAGGATGGGATTGAGCATCGACCCGTCGGAGGTTTATACCGATGCACTGAGAGCAGGACATGACTCGCCGGCGAACACCCCACCGGCGTCTTTCAGGGAGAAGATGGCGGAAACAAAAAGACTGACAAACCCAGTGGCGATGACTCAGCAAATATGGGATAACCGAGGCGAATCTTCTCATATTACCTTGGCGGGGCTCCCGATATTGGGACCATTTACCAGTCCCCCAGGGTACTCTTGTCTGCCTGGAAAGGGGAAAGAGCCTGGATGGGTGTTCAGAGGAGAAGGCGGCTCCCCAGCTCCGTTTTTGCAGACAGCTTTTCTAGAGATGGAGATGGAGGACACGACACGAGCAATGCAGAAAAGTCTCGACCTAGGGGAGAGGGACGCTAACAGAGACAAAATGGCAGGCCTGTTCAAAATGGGCCAGTCTCTCTCTTTGGCTAGCCCATCTATTTATAACACCGAAGCCCAACAGGGCCTGGCCATACCCGCCCAACCAAGCCAAGCCAAGCCCAACCCACGGACCGGGCAACTGAAACCATTGGGCTCTCAGCTGAGACAGAGCCACCAAGACCGGAGAAGAAAAGGAAGCCGGAGACTAGAGGCAGCCCAACGGCGAATGCTCAACAACAGGAATCCCCATCTAACCTTTCTTTTAGTTCGATGACCTTTGTTCCAGGAGAAAACAAGAAGACGTATAAGAGAAGGAAGCACATTGTCCGAAGGAAAAGCCTTGCAGAGATCACGGCGGAGGAGTATCAGTCCGGGGAGGGAGAATCAGCCACTCCGAGGGCGTCGGCGGCAAGCCTCAAGCCGCCTCAACAAGAATGAGAATCATATCCTGGAATTGTAGGGGATTCGGCCAACCCCTTACAAGAAGCTATTGCGGCAGGCTGTGTCGCCAATTCGGCCCCTCGATCTTGTTTCTTATGGAGACGAGAAGGAGGATGTTTTCATGGAAAGAAAAAGAAGAAGCATGAAGTTTGATCAAGCGGAATATGTAGGTCCAGATAGGGAAGGAAGCGGCCTTGCCCTATGGTGGAAAGACGACATTAATGTGTGTGTTTTAGATTCATGTAAGTCCTTCATGGACACCAGGATTTGTAAGGATGGTAGTAGCTTCTTTTGCACTTTTGTCCATGCTCCTACTACACTGGTAGAGAGGCGACAGCTTTGGGATAGGCTCTCTGCCCTCGGGGATATCCAGGGGGAGAAATGGCTGGTGGTCGGGGACCTCAATGTTGCCGTTTCAGCGTTTGAAAAACAAGGGAGATGCCCCCTAAGGAATGAAAATATTGTGCCTTTCAAGTACTTCATGACCAGGAATGCCCTGATGGATCTTGGGTTTTCAAGCCAAGTTTTCACTTGGAGCAATAAACAACAGGGAAATGAGCTGGTCAGGGAAAGGCTTGATCGGGCTCTCTGCTCGACGACCTGGAGGACTTCCTTTGAGTCAGCCACGGTTTATCACGAAGATTTTGTGGAGTCAGACCACTGCCCAATCAGGATTGACCTGAACCCGATGGGCCAGCTGCACTGCACCCCTTTCCGTTTCGATAAGAGATGGAGGGAGAGTGAGGAATGTTGTCGTATTATTATGGAGAGATGGCAGAGAGGGGGAATCTTCAACAACATGATGCTGGGGTGTCAGGAGGAGCTTCAGACCTGGGCCAGAGCTGACAGAAAATTGAAAATACAACGGGAGAGGGAGATTAGAGCTCGCCTCCAAGCACTTCAGGGGAGTCGGGACTCCCAGGAGAATATTCTGGAGGAGAGGAACCTTCTTCGTGAGCTGGAGGCAAGCTGGGTGGCTGAGGAATTCTTTTGGGCTCAAAGGTCCAGAATCTCATGGCTTCAGGAAGGAGACCAAAACTCAGGCTTTTTTCATGCCAGCACCATTAAAAGGAAAAATAGGAACCGCATTTCAAAACTGAAAGGATCGGATGGAAGCTGGATTGACAACCCGCAAGAGCTGAAGAACCATGTCGCACATTATTACAACGGCCTCTTCACGACCAGAAACAGTCCTTTGAACACAAGCCTTTTGGAGGGATTCCCCAGGCTGGTGACTGATGAGTATAATTCAACACTGTGTGCACCAGTGGGCAGGCCTGAAATTCGCAGGGCTGTCTTCCAGTTGGGAGCAAACAAGGCTCCAGGTCCGGATGGTTTCCCAGGACTGTTCTTCAGGAAATACTGGAACACAATTGAGGATTCATTCTGTAACGAGATCAACAGCTTTTTCCTGACGGGCCAAATGCCGGAAAGCTGGAATGATACTTTCATCACCATCATCCCAAAGGTGGATGCTCCTGAACAGATTAGCCAGTTCAGACCGATAAGCTGCTGCAACTTCAAGTATAAAGTCATTACAAAGATTATGTCTACCAGACTGCAGCCCCTGCTTCCAGAACTGGTGAATGAGCTCCAAGCTGCTTTCACAGGAGGGAGACAAATCCAGGACAATATCATTATTGTGCATGAGGTGCTCAATCATTTTAAAAAAACCAAATCAGGAAATCGAAGGGAGATGATGATGAAGCTGGACATGAGGAAAGCATATGACCTTGTCGAATGGGACCTTCTCATCTCCCTCCTTAAGGCATATGGCTTCAACCACATCTGGTGTGATTGGATTTATGCTTGTATCTCTTCTGTTTCTTTCAAGGTGCTGTTCAACGGAGAGCCATCCGAAGCTTTCAAACCGTCGAGGGGTATCAGGCAAGGGGACCCCATGTCCCCACTCCTGTTCATCCTGATGTCAAATGCCTTATCCTTCTTGGTTGAGAAGGCAGTTGGGAACAATGGGATCAAAGGCATTAAACTGAACAGGTCTTGTCCCATTCTCTCCCATTGCTTGTTTGCCGATGATACTGTGATTTTTGGTGAGGCTTCAAAGGAGGAAGCAGGTAAGATCTTGGAGATCCTTGGACAGTATGGAGCGGTCACCGGACAGGAAGTGAATAGGGATAAGTCATCTCTGTTCTTTGGACACAATGTTTCAGAGGATGAACAAAGAGTGATCATCCAAGAAGCAGGGTTTGATCCGAGGAACAGCCACTCCAGCTATCTGGGAGTCCCTACTGTCTGGGGGAGGTCAAAAAAAGAAACGTTCAGCTATCTCATCCAACGCATGGAATCCAAGGGAGAGGCATGGAAGAGCCTACTGCTTTCACCGGGTGGAAAAGAGGTATTGCTCAAATCAGTGTTCCAAGCTGTTCCCACCTACATTATGAGTCTTTTTCTCCTCCCAAGAGGCACTACAAGCAAAATGGACTCTATGCTCAAAAGCTTCTTTTGGGGTGGCTCAGTGGATAAAAGAACGATCCATTGGAGGGCTGGCAATGTGTTATATGCGCCAAAAGATGAGGGAGGGCTCGGATTCCGACCGTTCCATACTTTCAATATGGCACTCTTGGCAAAGCAGGCATGGAGAGTGCTTTTGAATAAGGATGCTTTGTGGGTTAGGGTGCTGAAAAGCATCTATTTTCCCAACTCGGATTTCTTGAATGCAAAAAAAGGCAGCAAAGCCTCGTGGATTTGGTCAAGCCTATGTGAAGCGAAAACATGGATGAGACAAGGCATTATTCGAGTCATTGGCAATGGGAGGTCATCAAGAGTTTTTCATGACCCTTGGAGATTTGACAGAGCAGGAAGACTCCTCCCCTTCGAGTGGAATGATAATGACACTGTGGATTTGTGGATTGAGGAGGTCTCAAGGGAATGGAAGTTTGACATCCTGGCTAACTTCCTTAGCCCGAATGAGTTGAAACAGGTGGCGGCTGTCCCTATTGGACCTGCTTCCCTTGAGGATTTCTGGGCATGGAGGTTCAATGAAAAAGGTGATTTCACGGTTAAGTCAGCCTTTATCCACTTCCATAACAACACTAGGCATCCCAATGGGCAGGCTGAGGCACCTACTGATGTCAGCAAGAAACGTTGGAAGTGGCTATGGAGCCTTTCGATCCCGTCGAAATTGAAATTCTTCATTTGGAAGGTTGTCAGAAGGGCGCTGACATCCAAGGAAAACCTCTTCGCCAGAAAATGCTC